ACAAGGACAAGCAAATGTTAAGTGCTTCTCTAATGCAAACAAATGTCCATTTGGGATCCTGGTGATTGTTTTCATTTGTGGCCTGAACAGGATTTGAACTCGTATCTCCAAAAATAAAAGGATAGTGCACAAAGCCACAGAGGGAAAGCACAAGGAATCAGTGGTACTAGAAGGTAAGGACCACTTTCGTTGAAATCTTTCTACTTTTATAGTTATGTTGTGGTTCCTATGCCAAAAATACAAATTCTGGAGTTTGTACAGACCTGGTACAGCTAGTACTTTCCATTACAGTGGTTAGCCTTCACAAGTGACCAGCTGCCTCAGACTGCAATTAGACACACAATTCAGTATGTTCTTTCTTTCCGGTAAATTAATAGATTATGGTAACTCAAGGAAAAGTTTACAGAAAGTTGTGCCAGGCCAAAAAGAAAAGGTCAAAAGACATCACCTATTTTTCATGTTCTAGGACTATTTACACATAGTTTTTGAAGTAGATACAGATTCAACATGGGTTATTAATAACGACCCCTCATACTTCTGAAGCGAGTTGCAGCTAAGGATCTGCAAGAATTTTGGATTAAGTTCTCATAAATTAATGGATTAAGACTCATAAATCCTTTGTAAAATAGGAGGGTGTTATTAAACTCATTTTATAGACATGGCAATTGAACTTTAAAAAAATCACACTTGACACATTTAATCTCTGAAAGGACCTTTGACACAGCACAGGGAAGAGAAAAAAACAACAAAATGTAGGAAATTCTGGTTATAAAACCTCAAAAACTGAACTCAGAGGCAAATGTAATTTCTTGAACCGCTTTCAATTCATTTTTTAAAAAAGTGACTAGACTTCAGGTTGATGGTTTCTCTTTCAGTGATTTGACTAAGATTACACCATAAGGTCCTGTGTCTGATCTGCACCCCTTGAGAGGTGCAGCCTAGGAACGGCAGAGCAAAGGTGGTTGGCTGCCTGCCACCACTTTACCTCTGGGCTTCTGTGCTGAGCTGGAGCATGCCTGGACCTTGGCCTAAATTAGGAGCACCTCAGAGGCTGCTCTAATTTATGACGGCTTTGAACAGCTCCCTATGGGTCATCTACCATGCCAAAATTGTAGTGCATAAGTACAGTGGACTCCAGTCACACCCCCTCTCTTTCCTGCCCTGTCCCTTTCTGCCTCCTGCATGCCCCTACACTGTGTCCTGCAAGGTGGCAGGTGGTGCAGGGCCATCACACTGGCTCTATGCCTCCCAAGAAATGCCTCTTTCCCGCCCCACCACTGTATTATTCCCTAAGGATAGCTACACCAGTTTTGAGATCCATTTTTCATATCTGATCACAAAATCAGGGCCTATGTTTTGTGAACTATCTAGGAACAGAATGTAGATTTCCTGACTCCTAGTTCTGTAATCTAACCATTACACCATGCTCCTCTTCCATTATGTGATATTAACTCAAGGACAAGGCATAAACTTGCGATGTAACATGCTCTGTTTTTAAAAACATGGTAATGCTATGGGGAAATGAGTGACACTTGGATAGCTGCAATTAAGGGGAATGAGATTTGCGTAATAAAACAAAAGCAAATGGAAAAATCTTCTCAGTAGATACCTTGCAGGTACGACAATCAGATGAAAATGATTAGAAACTAGCTTTATAATGACAAACCCTTAAGTATAACAGAGCTAGCTAATGAGTTACTGAATTACCAAAACATAAAACTTTAATTCTTGTTTACAATTGTTTCTCTCCTATGTAGGTCAACATCTGATATCAATTAAACCACCAGATATTTTAGCTTGTTGTTGCATTGCTGAGCTCTGAGCTGACAAAAGGACCAAAAATCACTCCTCAAACCCATAGTCAAGCACCGCAAGGCTTCAGACAGGAATGGTAAGAGACACACGGGTATCATTAGTGGACACTTAAATTGTATCAGATTAATGAATCAGCAAAAGTCTAGTCTCAGGACTGGTTTACATTAAAGCTGTAAGTCGACCTAAGTTCGTAAGTTACATAACTGAAGTGAAGTCGACCTACCTTACGCTACTTCAGTAACGTAAGTTACATAACTGAAGTCGAGGTAACTTAGGTCAACTTTCAGTGGTGTCTACACCACGCTGTGTTGACGGAGATGTTCTCCCGCCAACTTACCTTACGCTTCTCGGGGACGTGGAGTACAGACATTGACGGGAAAGCACTCTGCCATTGACTTAGCTTGTCTTCACCAGACTCACTAAATTGACACCACTGCATTGATTGCAGCAATGCCGATATACCCGTAAGTATACACAAGCCCTCAAATTTGATACTGCTAGTTGACAGCATCATACCCAATGTCTGGACATGGCTACAGTCAGTGATATCTACAACACTCATCTTCACCAATTTTCTTGGCTCATATTCATTGTAACTGCTAAGCTCAGATGTCATTAATTTCTCCAAGGTGAAAGCCTCATGCCCAACATGACTCCCTCCTGGAGGAAATTACTATCATTTTTGTAAATAATCAAAGTGATGACCTTTTGGTGACTTATGTGTTTGACTTCCTAATTTCAGATATGGTTATTTTCCCTTGCAATCAGCAATTCGGTATGTACCAAAGAATGTACTAAATGACAGGATTCTAGCTCAAAAGGGAACGTGTGTGGTTGAAATCTGATCATAACTACTAATCCCATGAGAAAGACTGATGACTTTTGGTGACCGCTTGTGGGAAGATCAACGTTCAAATTTGTGAGAAGAGGGAGGGATCAGAGGAGAAGTCTTTAGCAGTCAAAGACATGACAAGGTGGGGCTTTGGTCTCACCGGTAAATTCACTTTCAACAAAAGAGACTATCAATCTGGAAATGGGCTCCTTCTCCTTGTGGCCTCAGTTCATGAGGCTCTGCCCCCTGGATTCTGCTACCCTCCCTCCTCCAATCAAAGCTTCCCTCCCTCTCAGAGAAGTAAGCAGGCTGGGCAGTATATACCTGCCAGAATGATGCTCAGCTTTAGGCAGGTGCTCCTTATCCAGCCTCCTGGTAGCGGAGGTCTGGGGAAAGACAGTGGGCTGCAGAGAGGGAGGGACTGTGCTAGGCTCAAATTACCTAGCAGAATCTAGGGGGCAATCAATGGGCTACTCACAGCAGTAAATGCTATGCCCATTAGTAAGTGTTTACAAGATCAGGCCCTAAGAAAGTACCACTGGTTACTAACCCACTGTAATATGCTGTGATGGGGCGTCTGCCCCTTAATAGAACCCTAGAGAAGCTGCGCAACAGGCAGCCAATTGGAGAGAACCCTAGGGATGCTGTGCAGGAGACAGACAATTGAAGAGGACTACAAGGAGCAGCCAATCAGGGTCCATATAAGAAGAGCCGCAGGACAGAGGTCAGTCATTCCCTAGAGCATGAGAAGGGTGGTAGACTGGCTGCCTTGCAGGCTGAGAGTGGCAAGCACCCTGGACATAGCAGTGCTGTAGGCTGGTGCTGCAGGCTGAGGCCCTGAAGTTAGGGCAAAGAGTGTGCTGGGGCTGCCGGGAAGTGGCCCAGGGAGATCCACAGAGGAGTTGGAGGGGATGCAGTAAGTGGCTGCTATCTATAGGGTCCCTGGGCCGGGACCCAGAGTAGTGGGCGGGCCCGGGTCCTTCCCCCTGCTCCTCACCACTGGGGAAGTAGCTAAACTGTAGACTGTGCTTGCCACTGAAGGAAGTGGCTGGACAGTGGACTGCAGTTCCCCTGGAAGGGGGGAACACGGAGTGTAGCACAGCCGGAGGGCAGTGTCATGAAGAGGATGCTGCGGTCCTGGGAGTGACGTGGGTCCAGGAACAGAGGTGACAGTGGGCGAGACACCACCAGCAGAGGGTGCAGCGCTAATTCCCCGCAGTGGTGAGTCGCCCCCCCATCATGTATGCTTGAATGCTCAGACAATGTTTAAAATTCAATGCAGAAATACATGGCTTAACATTTACACAATCAAGTTCTCTTGATTCTGCTCCCATTGAATTCAGTGATTCAGAATTAACCCCTTTGAAATGGTTTTTACAATCTGCCCTACAGTACTGGAGGGAACATGGCTAAATAGAAATGGAAGTAAGGACTCCAGGGATCTATTTCTCAGCTCCGCCACTGACTTTCTGTCACTTTTAGCAACTCACCTAACCTCTCTGTTTTTCAGTTTACCTATCTATAAAATGGTTAGCTGCTTACTTTACCTTGAGGTTTAATCAATTATTGTGGGTGAAGTACACTGAGATCTTCAGACTGAAGGAGCTATGGAAGTGGGAAGTGTTAGCATCATTTACAATAAGTTTCAAGCTACACTAAGCAAAAAGAGTAAAGACACAACCGTAAAACGACATTAATTTTGTAACTGTTTCTGTTTTATTTAATTTATGAGGTCACACTCTCTTATATTCCCAAAGTTTGGAAGAAAAAACTGATTAGACCAGTTATGCCTATGGTAATCCAGAATGATGCCACTCATTTAAACAGAGTTACTCCAGATTTATACCCATGTAATTGGGATGAGAATCTTCTCTCAGTGTGACACATACTAGTGAGAGCATATCTAAAGCTCCTGCTTTGCTCACATTCTGTCACCAGGCTTCACTTACCCTTATCTTTCCCCATTCAGGACACAATTTATGCCAAAGGCCCTGATGATGTGATGGGACCCATTAGCATGGACCTTTTGACCCATGTGCAGTCTCAGTGACTAATGAACTTTATCTAAGTATGAGTCCATGCTGGCAAATCCCTTCCAGTGCTATAGTTGCTGCAGTGTCTTTACTAATACAGATTAACATAGACCCTTCACATATGAGAGGTCCAGAATCCTCTCTTAACATTTTTAAAATAACTGTTCCAAGCTCTTATTTTAGATAAAATAACGTTTAAAGGGTTGTTTATAAAATATTACTATGAGCTTTCATTACATGCCAAATCTGCAATGAACATTGCACTAGCCTAATATTACTGCATTTGTCATAGCACGAGGAAGGAACAAGAATGATCATACCTGTTTCAGGTTTACATTTAAGCCCTCATGTGTCGCCTTTAACAGCGCTTTCACGGTGAAACTGTCAGGGTCTTCTTTGTCCCGGATTTGAGATTCTTTTATCAGTGATTCAAGTTTCTTTCTTATAAAAGATTCCATCTGGTGCTCAGTTGTACCATTACTCTGAAATGAATAAACAAATCCTGTTAAAATACATTCAGACATGCCAATCCTATTTGAGTAACCCAAATGGAACAGTATGGATGCTTCCATCCAAGCAAACTATTGATGTTCTCAACATTTCCTCCTACCCTTTCCAAGTACAAGTAGGATGATGAAAACCGCTTTAGTCTGCATCTTCCGATTGGCTGCTTTCCCTGCCATGGTTTTCCCTTTAGTCCTTTGATGTGTAAGTTACGTTGACTTAGGTCACCATTTAGATCACCTCAGAATTTTGCACCTCTGTGTCAGTTTCCCCATATGGGAACAATCGTATCACTTACCTACTCTCTCTGAGATGTAGTGAGGACTATACAGCTGATGTGTTGCCACAGCCCTTGGAAAATGTAAAACACTAAGTGCAATATTATAACTCTTGATGGAACACAGATACGGCGTTTTTATTATTAATAATAGTCATTTGTATTGTGATAGCACCTATGGGCTTGATTGTGGTAGATGCTGTACAAACACAGAACAAAAAATATTTAGCAGAACTTTTGATGTAAATAATAAAGGCCTCACATAGAGTGGAATTCACTCTTCGTTCCTCTGCTGAGGGGGAGAGAGATTTCACCCCTATGGAAGAAACTGAGGGCCTACTACTAAATCCTGCAGATGCTCCAGTTGTGTGGAAGACACAGGGCCACCTACAAGGAAGCCCTGTGCTTTCCTGTTGGATTTAAGGGCACCCCTTTAAGATAATTCTATATGATGGAGGGGGGTACCCAGGGAAAGCTAGGATAGCCTCTGCCAGTCACTGAGCATGTTTCTGTTAGATGGTGTGGGTGCATGAATGGGGAGTTAAAGCTGTGGTCACCATTGGTTATCTAACCTTACCTTGGGGTTATATTTATAGTTGTGTTCAATGGCATCTCTTTGCTTCAACCCCGATCCTGCAAATATTTAGACAGCTGCTTAAAATTAAGCACAGCCTAAAGGCTTTGAGGACTGGGGACCTAAATTGCATTTAGCAACCTTCACTGTAGCTTAGTTTTTTGTTACTAAATATGAAAAAGTTCCAAGCTGCAAGGAATACGGAGAGAATATAACTTCTTGGGTCACTGAACGAGCGGTCTTTGCCTCTTGCTTCATGGATCCAAATCAAAATTGTATTTCTACATGAGATTGTCTTGTAGACCATATGGCTCAAATAGCATCACACTACACTCTGACCACAAAGTAATCGGAAAGCCTAAGGCTTTGTAAAAATGAAATGAATCACATCTTCTCTCTCAATGTTAAGTATCACTGCATTTATCTGTCTTAAGAGAGAGAGAAAAATCCAGTCCCTTTATGCAATGTACATGAATCCTAGAGAAGACTTTGCTGATTACTTGACATGTAGGTGGTGCCTGTGCATAGAATTAAAGAAAAGAAATGGCGTGAACATCTGCTTTCTCTAAGATAGTTCAGAAGGGAATCTATAGTACCTAAATCTCCAAAGTGATTCCCAAGTCAGCCTGCGAAATGTTTAACTCCCAACAGCAGATGTAAATGATAAAGAAAAACAAAACAAAATCTGTTTAAAAAGCTATTGCAAAATATTTAATATAACTGAGAACTACATGGGGATGTGTGTCTATAATGAAAACTGTGTGTGTGTGTGTAATTAAAACAGTCGGTATAAATTAAAACGATATGGGAGTGAGTGGGGGTGTAATAAAAAAGCAAGCTCACTGGGCCAAATTCAAACCTGAGATCAATGGAGTTACATCTGCTGATGCCAAATCTAAATTTGTCCCCTTCTATTTGTACCATACTGTATAATATCTTCTTTCTTGTTCAAAATTTTAAATTAGTGAAGTGTGGCTGCTGCTGGGCTGGACACCTGTTGCCAGGGCCGGCTCTAGGATTTTTGCCGCCCAAAGCAAAAACAATTTTGGCCGCCCCCCTCTCCCCCCCTCCCATTTTTTAATTACCTCACCCCCGGCCCCGCCTCAACTCCGCCCCTTCCCCAAATCCCCAGCCCTGCCTCCTCCCCCCAGGCTCTCAAGCCTAGGAGGAAGGGAGGGAGGGAGGGGGAGAAGCGGCGCCCGCGCCACGGCCACTCGGAGTCTCCCCCTCCCTCCCAGGCTCTCAAGCCTGGGAGGGAGGGGGAGTAGCGGCGCGCGAATCAGCTGTTTCCCGTGCCGTGGCTTGCGAGCGGCAGCAGCAGCGGAGGTGAGCTAGGGCGGCCGGGGCACATTTTTAGGGGCGGGCATTCTGGCGCCGGCCATGCCGCCCCTAAAAATGTGCCGCCTCAAGCACCAGCTTGTTTTGTTGGTGCCAAGAGCCGGCCCTGCCTGTTGCATAGCGTGCATCAGCACTGCACAACGGTTTATGTTAGTTAGCAACAAATATGGAAATGGCTAAAAATAAAATTAAAGCATAAAAGAAAATAGACCAGGGTAAGATCTTTAAAAAGAGAGCAAGTAAAGGGGTTAAAGGCAACAAAAAAAGAAGAGAAAACAGACAAAGGGCTAAGAAATAATAAAAGAACGGTTTAGAGCTGTGAAATTCAGACCACTTTGGTGCTTACATATGGATTCAGGTGCGTGACTTTAGGCATCCAAATTCAAAAATTTTAATCTATAGGTAACAATATTAAGTGGGAGTTTGGGGTGTGTAAGGAACACAGGATTGGGAAAGCAAATTGTGCCATATAATTGTTATACACTTACATAACAGAGCTTTAACTTGCAGTCATCTTCAATTTCATCAGCACTGTCTTCATCAGAAACCTCCCCTTCTTCAGCATCAGCTCCAAGGTTATATGGTAGTTTCTTTCCCTAAAAATTAGCACAAAAATATGTATAATATATGTAGAAGTTGCTAGTGTAAGTTAATGGGGAGAAGGCAGGCTAAAATTCTTGTTCATGTTCCTAGTTCCAAATAAGGTCTGATGGGAGAATACATTATTTCAAGTTGTGATCATGAACATGTGGTTTCAGGATTTTTCATTTAGGCTTTGACAGATACCTCCCAGGGAACCAGTTTATCCTAAAGAAAATGACTGCTGGTTAATGGGACATTATAAGCAAAGTATCTGCTTAATGGGATACAGGCAGCCAGTGCCAAGAGCATTTGCTCAGAGCAGGTCTACACAGCATGGTACTTAAGATACTGGCAGCTTCCAGCACCATGTCTACACCAGAGCTGTCACTACTGATATCACAGGCGGAGGTGAAGTGAGAGGAAATTTTAGAGAAATAACCCTAGTGTGACAAGGCCTCAGAACCTTGCTAATAATAATAAACACAACGTTCAAACACAATTGTAGGCAGTGTGGTTCTGATCTCAGTTTGGACAGGTTCTTCATAATCATCGCCCTTCACAAGGGCCAGATCCTAAGCCCACTGAACATAATGGGAGTCTTGCTATGGACATCAATGGATTTAGACTATGCCATGAGTCTGGACCAGTCTCTCTGTGCAATGGTAACAGGTACTAATTATATTGGGTGGGATTTTCAAAGCACCTAATGGAACTAGGTGCCAACTCCCCTGGAATTTTGAAAATCCTACCTATTTAATGTTTTGATGGTTCCTATTACCTTTCATTACACCATGCAGCTGCCAACTCTGATGCTATCATTGGAGTGATGTAAAACAAATCTTTTAAAGTTAAGTCCCCCAGTACTGAATTGCTTAGCTGTAGGTTGTCTGTGATCTCTGGAGTCTTGGTAACATCACATCTCTGTTCTTAAAGAAGTTTGAAACGCTAAAAAAATAAAAAGAATCCTTCCTAGCAGTAAGTTGCCTCTTTTTTAAAAAAAAGTTCAACTGAAAAAAGTGCTGCCATTTGTAATATGTAAAATGTAAGAATTCCTCTCCAAGTAAGTTGAGCAGCTTTACAGGCAAATCTGCCTCTTGCCTCCTTTTGACCAACGTGCAATGAATATTGCTGCAACCCTTTTAAATGAATACCTTAAATCATTTAGACACTGAAGCATCATTATACTGCCAGTGAGCATAAATGCTGTGCAATGTGCTGGTCCAAACTCTAGCAGTAAAATGACTTTATGTAAGACAGTACGTGTCCCACAAGTACTTTTAGATTCAGTTTATTGTTCAGTTATCATGTATTAAAAATAGTAGAGCCCAAACGTGTATTGTGCATTACTCAATTTTCTATTCTCCACTGATCAAGAGTAGTAATACTTGGCTCCATAGTTTACATGCTTAACTCTTAGAATGCAATATTTTCCAGCCATCAGAATACTTAGGATGAAATGAGCATATAGACAGATAGATATATGAGGCATCCAAAGGGCACAATTATAAAGATGCTGTGTTCTTAACCTCTAAGGCCCGCAGCTTTCTTAAGTTCAGTATGTCATGGTCAATTACTGCAACAAGAGGTAACTGCCTCAAAGGTAGGGTTAACAAAACCCTCTGGGAAGTCTAATTTTTGACTGGCAGAATTCACTGTCAGCTGCAGGATTCAAAGAACTTTCTATACTGAAGTTTTCAAAAAAATATTGGACATTTTCCCATCTCTAGAGCAGCCTTTTTGTCAGAATGTCTTTGTATAACTAGACTCAGCTGTTTCATGCTCACCTCCAGCAGGCTGTTCTGTTATAAAATCAGACACTAAGGCTGACACTCTGCATCAGAAGCAGGGGAAGTGCAGACACAAGGGAACTTGATTGCATTTGGCAGTTAGCGTGAGGGAAGCAGGAAAGCCTATAGAAATATTGCATGTACAGTTCGGAGTGTAGTCAGCAGGCTGAAATTAGTGGCTAATCCATTGCTCTAAGGCAAATATGTCTTACTTGGGTCAGGAAGGAATTTCTCCCAAGCTCATGTCTAGCTTTGAACAGCTGGATAGTGTGGTGGAATATGGATGCAGCATTTGTTGGCTACTTCTGGTGACAGGATACAAGGCTTGAAGGATCAATAGTAAACAGAACAATAAATCTTCTGGAATTTTCCTATATGATCACTCACATTGCAAGTGCAGGTCTGTAGATACCTAGTAGTGTATTAATAGAGGGTCTGATGAGGAATAAAAATCAAGATGCCAGTTAATATCTAGGAAATTAAACTTGTATGCTGTGATGTGTGCTTATCTTCACCACTGATTAGGCTCTCTACAGTTGTCAATGCCAATACCACCATAAACTAGATTGTTCTCCATGAGATTTATACCGCGAGATAAACAATGCAGGACATGGACACTGCATTTTTTGGAATGGATAGTACTATTCTGCCAGCCAGGGGGTCCAATTCACCTCTGACTTACACCTTTATAACTCCACTGAAAGTGGAGCCACTCCTGATTTATACTGACCTAAGGGCTTGTCTACTTGGACTCCGTTTCAAAATGGGGTAGATCAAAGTGCACTTCAGAACTGTTAGTTCACAACAGCAGGGTACATTGGACACTTAGCATGCGGCAGGCCAAAGTGGGGTAATTTTACATCCCAGCCTGCCACAAACTAGGTGTTTGTGTGGATAAGCCCTAAGTGAAGGGAGAATCAGGCTCAGTGTCTGGACAATCCAGTAACACTACATGTTGTTCAGGGAGGAAGGATGAACTAATGCATAAATGGAGTACAAATAATGGCAGGGAGGTGTGGAACTGGCTTGTTACTTCCCCCAAAATCTACTGATTCATAAATAACAAAGTTTGTGTTTTCTCAAGTGGCTGGCTGACATGAGTGATAGATGGGATAGCAGATACAGTATTTTGTGAAATCAGACAACAGTCTACAATGATGGTGAAAACAGCCTTTGTCACTTTGAAATGCTGGCCGCTTCACCTCCATGCCTAGACAGCTAATTCTGTGCTTACAGAAAATGAAGTGTCCTCACCATGCTAAATTAAATTAAAAAGAGGCAATCTGATACGGTAAATACATATTAATCATCCTCTCAAAGTATTATCTAGCTTTTTCATCTTTATTTCATTATTTTCATCTCGTTCTCTGAAATTCCTTCCAGAAAGGATCTGTTTACACTGAAAAGTTCAAATTATTCATCTCAGACACGACGTTGGCACTTTTCCCCTGTTGTTCTTTAGCTCTTCTCTGAAGCATTCTTCTCACTTACATAGCCACAACTGATGAACCATGAAAAAATGCTTTTATCTGATGAACCGTTGCTCTTAGCAGCAGGAAGGTGAGAAGAGAAGGGAAAGAATGCTTTTCTTCTCATAAATTTGAAATGATTTCTCACTCTTTTCTATATTGTACTTAAAGAATACACTGTAAGGAGAGAATGTGGACTGGTGCTTAGCACCAATGTGAAGACACCTTAGAAAAACCACAGATCAAATAAATTAGATAGAGGTTAGATCGGGGGAATGGGAATCAGGGTCCTTGGATTCTATTCTTGACTTTGCCATTGATTCCTTGTTTGATCCTGGGTGCCTCATATTCCCCAGCTATAAATATGAGTATAATAATATTGCTCCTACCTCATAGGGCTACTGTAAGTGTAATTAACAGATGTAAAATGCTTTGAGATCTTCAGATGAGATAATGCATAAGTACAAATTATTTATGTATTTAGTATTATTATTATTTTATTGAATATAGCCTGGTAATATCACTTTACAAAAAGTATCTCAGGATACTTGCTAAGTCTGAAATAAAACCTGTTTTAATGTCTGTGTGAAAAGAAACACAAGATCAAAACCCAGCTAATTACATCTGTTCTGATTCTTGTGTCATTGGTAATTGGGTTCTTAGGGCCTGAGGGGACAAGAGCTAAGATGATAAGTATAATATACTGACTGTTATTACATTTTGTACATAATACTGGTAGCAAATTACCTTCACTAGGATTTTGCCTTTCAAACTTTGAGGGCTAGGAAGCTGCTTGGAATCTCCAGCGATTATAGATGACAAGTCCAGTTTGTCACTGAATATTTCCATGAGGTACTGAGCAATCTTCTTTTGCTGCTGGATACTACAGTGATTCTCAATAGACAATACCACCGGAAACCTAAAACAAAAGCAAAACCCCCAGATAATATCATAACAGCTTTTCAAGATATATGACCAGGCAGTCATAATGCAACTTAGAAAGTAGGTTGTTTTACATTCATCTTGCTCTTGCAGTCTCTGTAGCAGCAATTTTGTTTTTAAAATGGTGTTTTTCATCATATTATTACAATCATATCTCCTTGAAGAAAGCATGAAAACTGACTAATTGTGATGAGGTGTACAAACCCCACACTGGGCCCAATGTAAGGGGGTTGAAAGGCAATACTGGGCCCAGGTAACTCTACCCCTTTGGGACTGCAGGAGCAAGTTAAAAGGAGCTCAGAAGGCCAGGCAAATGGGGTGGATAGGCTGCAGGAGAGAGTTCTTCTCCAATAAGCCAGATGGAGGGTTGAGTCTGAGATGGGATTACAGAGCGGGTAAGGCCCTCAGGCAGAGCGTTTTCTACCCACCACATCCTGCAAGTCTCTGCTCCTTTGGACTCTTCTGTTAAAAGAGTGACTGTTTGGACTATAGGGGCCATACCTCAAACTGAAGGGACACATAGATAAGAAGTAGCCCAGAGCACTGGACTTGGACTTGCTGCAGGGAGGATCCTGCCAGTGTTGCTTCCCACAGTGCCCTGTGCTGAGACCCCCTATTTCACCCTCCCCACTTCAGGGCCAAGCCCCAGGTGTGGGTAGAAAGCAGAAAATTCCCAGCTTGGGATCAGGAGCAGGCACCTCTATTGCTTTGACAAAGAGACAAGGGGCTGGAAGTTGGGTATGCTAACCACTCAGCTGCCCAGCTCTCTGAGCACCCTATCACACTAATGCAGTAGTTTTCAGCCTGTGATCCGCAGACCCCTGGGGGTCCACAGACTATGTCTAAGATTTCCAAAAGGGTCTGCACCTCCATTCAAACATTTTTAGGGGTCTGCAAATGAAAAAAGGTTGAAAACTAATGACTAAACTCAGAGGGACACATAGTTTGGTTGAGCCCTACACCACCTGGACCAAATTCTGCATCTTGTTACAGTGATGCAAATCCAAAGTCATTCCACTGACGTTAACAATCACTCTGGATTTACATTGGTGTAATTGCAGGTAGAATTTTGCCCTATATTTTTATCTCATTAATAAAGACAAAAAGAGCCAAATTCTGCCCTGACATACACCCTTTGCACCATGATTGAAGTCAATTGGGGTCTCAAGAGCTATAAGGCAGGTCCTAATTTCTAAAAACAGCTCAGTGTAGATCCATGTTGTTTGTTTGTGGGTGAAGGTCCTCTAAAGAGTAAGGACCCCATGACACTCTTTGTAAGACCATGAGTGGGTGAAAATATCCCCTCTCCCATTGTTTTTCAATGTGCATCAGTTGTTTGATTGGCTTTAGCCTTTTGCCCTACAGACAGATGCACACAGGTAGTTCTCTGTGTGTATAGATAGTTACCTTCCCTTCCTGAGTAAAACAGGTATGAAAGGAAAACCCATGTGGAAAATGCCACCAGCTTTCTAGCTCCATTTGGTGTGAGGGTAAAGATCAATATGATGGCAGAATAGACATGGGAAGGTCTATAAAGCCAAGATCCACAGGAATACAGGCACAGATCTCAGACCCAATAGTCTGCCATCTCCTCTTTGAGGCCATTACACAGGCTCCCTGTTGTGTGGAGGAGGAGTTAGGAGATCAAGTGATCTACAGACCACGTTCCCCTCTTAGGGCTCTGAAACTTAGCATGCAAAGCAATACTGTTGCCCTGAACAGGCTAACTCCCCCTCTGCAGCTTTCAGAACCCTCACAAGGGGAATAAGAGTCTATGGTGGAGCAGGGATATGAACCTGGATCTTCCAAGTTCTCAGCTAGTGCCCTAATCACTGGACCGGCCTTCTCTAATGGTCCTTCTCTAGTGCCCTAATCACTGGGCCGGCCACTCTACATCCTCTCACCAAACCTATCTCACTAGAGGGAAGTATTTAAAAGCTCTATAGGTTCATCCCATGGAGTTCTCAATCTTCTCGGCCCCAAAGTTTTTATCTTGGTGGAAGGAATGATCTAGCCTTCATTCTCAATGTATCATGTTGTGTTTACAGTAGGTGTGATAGTATCATGGTTGATTTTAATAATATGGTATATTCTATAATCCTGAGGCACAATGGGATAAATAATGGGCAGAATGTTACCATCTTTACCCTTGAACTTCCTGGATTTTTTTACTACGAAGATTTTAGAAAACTTTGTCCTTTTTCAGGCAAATCTGTCACTGAAATTGAGGACACTTGTCCCCGAAAGCAACATTATGCCACTAATTTTTAAGCAGAATTCCCCAATGGAAATCAGTGAAAAATTCTTCTTAAAAGTGGGCCAAAACAACTCTGAAATTCTATAGTTATGACTATCTCCATATATTAAACAAAAAAACTATTGAGCTGGCGATTTATAAAAGATCCTCTGTAGCCTGGGTATTGATTAATGGGAAGATAAAATGTTCACATTGTTAAAAGATAAATCAAAGTTAACAATAGGGAAAATAATCAGATTCGCTGTGTGTTTGAAGGAAGAAATTTACATTGGGATACAATATTTTCATATAAGATTTACTACACAAGAGAAGTATACTGCTCTACGCTCAGAACCTGCATTGCACTTACTCATTTTTGACAAAGGCATTTTTATTGATAGCTTCTACCACATCTCTGAAGAGTATTTTGGAAGTAAAGGTATAACCATGGTGCACTACTGGCTCTCCATCTGGACCATCCCAGCAGTCAACTGTCAAGACAAGAAAACTATACATGAAAAAATATCCAGTGTCTTATACATTTTTAAAAATTTTCTTCTGAAGGGGAGAGGAAATGTTTTATGTTTTATATGCTCATGTAAATCAGACATGAATCCTGAGTAATAAACTGATACTTTCATATTGTATTTTGTACAAACTATACAAAACATAATGGCAAACAACCGAAGACCGATCTCTATTATACAAACCCTGTGATAAATTAATATTCTCTTCAAGTATAATTACAAGGATCTGCTGCCATCAGAACCAGAATAAAGCCTGCGTAAGAACATTCAGCCTTAAGGGCCTGACCCTGCAAAAGCTAACTCACATCAGTAGTCCTTACTTGTGTGAGAAGTCCAGTGTACTCCTGCCAGTAAATTCCACTCAGCTCAATAGGACTACTGATGTGAATTAAGGCTGGGGGGAAAGCCTTTCTATATGCTATCAAAGATGGTTATTTTCTCAATTATCTGCTCTCAGAATATGATTATTTTATTTGTGGGGAAATATAAATCAATTTTCACTCTGTTACTCCAGTTTATATATCATATCATCTCCATACTGTATATGAATATGTGAAACATTTCTGAGTACCAAAACATTCTGATTACCAAAGTGATGCTCAATCTACTATCACTTGTGAATCACATTTCATTCATGAAAAAGTATTTTGGATTATTTTATTTCAGAAATGAGACTAGAAAATGTAATAGCAAATCATAAGCAAATTAGAAATAAGAAAATCATAAGAAATTACTTAACTTAAATTGCAAACAGTTAATAGAGTTATCATATACACTACATGAGTGGGCAGGAAAACCAGTTTCATCATAAATGTATTTATAAATTGGTTTACCTATCCAGTCATGTTTGTAGAACAGCTCTATTAGGTCTTTGCAAATGTAAGTTACAGTTTTGAAACTGTAACTTACCAGATCTGTTCATGGGTCTCAATTATAATATACATTTTACAGGGCAGGGAGGTTATTTTTTTTTATTCTGAGTATTAGCCTCATTATAATGCAGAAAGATAAGCTTATTGCCAAAAAGTTTGCCCACCCCTGCATTAAAGGCTACTAAAGCTCTTAAGGGCAGTACTTCTTTATCTTAAAATATAGGGTGAGAATTGCTTGCTGGACAAATGGTCTAATCAACTATTGCAGAGCCTACGATCTCCCAGTGTTTGTTCTTAACACGTTCTAGTCTATCTGAGAATGCTGTTACTAACTGTAAATCTGAACACCGAGTTTCTAGAATGACTGAGATTCTTATAATTAAACTCAGATGGCCAAATTTATCCCTGGTGTAACTCCAGTGATTTTGATGTTATTAACTTTGAGTTTGACTTCAAACTCCACCAACTTAGTCTCAGAGATGTTTCATACAGAAACACCAGGTTATTGGGCTATGATAGATATTACTAAAAGCAACAGGAGGAAAGAGAACAATGGGGAAGACATGGGAAATGTTATTAAAGCCAATGTTAAGGTGAGATATTTAATACAGGACCCCAGAGGAGAAACCAACAGTGGCTATGCTGTGTCAGTATAGACACTCATCTCAATGGCAAACATTACTTGTTAAGATTGCTAACAAATCAGACTTACCAAAGAGGTGAAGATAGTGAAGTAAAATATGAGCAAACTGATTTGCACATTCAGTGCCAAACTTAAAACTTAAGAGAAATGTCTGTCAGACTTTACAGAGCTTCACACCCAAACAAATAACATTAAAAATACCTTCAACACATCGACAACCATCCTGCAACACCCGGGCATACATCTCCACTTTGGACTGAGATAGAAGTTGGTCTCCTGTCAGGTATGTATTGTGAGATGAAGCAATATAGTAGTTACAAAGGGGCTGATCCATATCCTGGTGGACTTCAGAATGCAACGGGTTAAATATATCACAAGCAGAACTGCGCATGAAGCTGGTGAAACCTTTGAACAAAAAGAAACAGTTTTTCAAGAGTGCAGTGTACCTGGACAGATTAACCTTACTCGAATACACAGGTTGATAAAATAGATACTATTTATGCTAAACTCTGTCAGTGTTAATCTGGCACCCAAGAACTGCTGTGTCAAGTGGGATGAATCCACCATCCTGAGTATCTGAACTACCGTGTATGGTTTGTCTATTTCTTTTGCAAGCTCCTTTGGGCGAGGGCATAGACCAAATTCATTGCTAGCATCAACAGGAGTTACACCTGCTAAAGTCAATGGGCGTTCTGACCATTTATGCCAGACAAGTCCATCATTTTCTCCTGGTCTCTACAGCATCACATGCACTGTTGTCTCTCAAGAAATATTAAACAAACTACAAAACAGACAAAACTGAACAATGTAGTAATATGTTTACAAATCCATGCCTATCAAAACCAGCAGCATTTGGACAGCAATGGCACTGAGCTAAGGAATTCATAAGAAATCTATTAACAAAGAATAGCGGAGGCAGAAATTTGGATTCAAGTGGTAAAATATGAAAGCTTAAATAATGAATGGCAGCAACATGGCAAGACTAAGAAAAGCATAGATCTGCAATCCCATTATCAAGTCTGTGTTCACATCATATGTTTCCTTCATGCCCTTAAGGAGCATATGATGGAAATCTGTGTGTAAAAATTCTTTGAACCCCTGGCGAGTTTCTCTGGGCCAAATCTGATGCACACACTTAGGCAAGTGCTGTATGCTAAAACTGTCTCTTATGGGAATGTTTTTGTTTGAACTGCAAGAGACAGAACAAAACAGCTCGTCATTGTTTCCATTAGAATTTACAAAACTTCCTTTCTTCAAATTATTTGATAAGATTAAAAATTATTTATCTTAATCTAAATACCACTGCAAACAATCAGGTACTTTGTACCCAAACAATGACTCGCTGTCATTAAAAACTGCCCTGCACAGATGTGACCCTCAGCAAGCTGATATTTCCTGACTCCTTGGGATGCGTTGTGCAGTGGGGGAAGGGATGTCAGTTGCCTCTGCAGCCACATCCCTCTTTCCAAAGACCCAGTCATTTCCCCATTCCTCCAATGGGGAAATGACTGGCTTGGTGTAAGGGAGGGAACGGGAGCCTCGTGTTGGGGGTGTGAGGCATCGAGGGGATGCACATTGTCTTTCTACTGGCCCAGTGAAGATTATAGACCAAGAGTGATATATCCTGGGTGCCATAGGATGGTCGTTGCCTGGAAATGAAACCGATCCAGCACACCTTGTGACCAAACAGGTGTTCCCACTTAGGGTAATTAAGAGCCATGGCAGCACCTGGTCCATGTAAATAGGAAGAGAGCTGGTGAGTCAGGCCTGCTTGAGTGCACAGACTTGAGGAGCAAAGGACAGGGACAGGGGCAGGTGAGAGCTGCCTGAGAGAGACAGTCTGCAAGGAGTGGAAAACTTTGCAGGCCCTCACTGGGCAGAGAGGCTAGTGCACTGACAGTCCTGAGCTAGAAAGGCTGAAAGGGCTGAGAGCTAGGAAGCCAGTGGAGGGGCTAGCTGCTGGCCCTTGCTGAGCCACAGAGCCAAGGCTGGAGAGGGCTGAAGGCTGAGAGCAGGAGAGGGTGATGCCTGCTGAGGCCTGGGAGTGAAGTGTGGTTAGAGATGTCAAAGTTGCACTGGAGAGCTAGAGCATGGTGAGAGATCCCATGATGAGAGATGCTGAAGCCGTGCTTGGTATGTAGCATGTACCATCTGGACTATGCTGGGGAATTTGGGACTGTGCTTATGGGATTTGTGTTATAGTTTATTTGCACAGGATTTTCTCTTATGATAAATTAAACTGCTAAGGCTATTTTTATTCGGAAAGACTATTTGGGCTAGTCCTGGGGACTCTGAAGGAGAAAATGAGGCAAGTGTGTCTGTTGTGCTGTAGCCTGCCACAGGAGGGCGCTCCAGGAGGGCAGGCAGCCCTATGATACTGGGATAATATTACCTCTTCCATGGTGCCTTCTTCACCAGTGGGATCCCTCTTTAAGTGAGATGTCGGGACAGCTGGAGCCAGAGTAAATGCCTGGCAGCTGCTGGGAAAGAGGTATGGAGGCACGGGGCCTGCAAGGGGATAGGCCTGACCTCCTGGAGATCCCCCAGAATTCTGTACTGGTAACCATTTCCTTGTTGGAACCCACACTAAATGCAACACTGCAGGAATGTTCCAATAGGTCACAATAATGTGAAAACGACCTAAATCCAACCCTAGCATACGTGGACACAATTCCCGTTTAAATTAATAAGAGAGCTATCACTTATGCCAGGGATGAATTTGGCTCCTAGGTCTCTACCATATCCTGACAAGGAATCAGAGGGCTTGATTCTGATATCATACCACTGTGACTCCACTACATCAGTGGAGTTACTGATTTACACCAGTGTAACTGAGATCAGAATTGGGACTAGAGTTTAAATAGCTAACTTTAGAATATGGAATTTAAAATGTTTTAAAGGACACAGCAAACTATTAAGACCCTGAATGTAATTAAATGTGAGGAGAGTGTTACTAAACCTAATAGGAATAGAAGTGTTTTCGAATGTTTAAAATGCCACAGCTTGTTGCTTTGTTTTGTTTTCTTAATTCTAGCTTAAGTGAATTGCCCAGAGTAACAGAATTTATGGCAGAACTATGAGGGTAAATCCAGGCCTGCTGTTTCCTTGCTCTGCTTTAGCAAGAAGATGATTCTTGTCCCTACAAAATCCACAAGCAAATTAATCTGCTCGTGGAAGTTACCTTCTGGGCTAATTAACCGACCATAGCACTTAAATTATTTCAATCTAATTCTGAAAGATTTATTGATACATGCAGATTTGAATATGGTATTAAGTTGGTTTCAGAATTAATATACCACCTGCAGCCTTGTTTTTGCAAATGAAAGGAGCAAGTTTCTAAATCTTGTAAGAAAATACTCTGGGCCCCACTGCGTTCCCTGCTGTCACTTACATGAGTGTAAATTAATGGACCACTGTAGAGTGGTTTTACACTAGTGTAACAGCACAACTGGCCCATTTTTTACATCAATGAAAATAGGTTATGGTATAAACAAACACAAATAAACAATTAGCAATAAGAACCCATACAAATGTGTATGCACTCTTGTTTTAAGATGATATTGGAATCACTTGCAGTACAATTGTGGCTGGTGGTACAATACTAGTCAAGTATTTCAACCTGTTGTTCTCCCATCTTTCAATCCATAACTTATTAAAATACCCCCCAAACAATCATGTGGTGCCTCCATATTAATCTGTTGTAGTCATCAGACATTAAAAACCACATCAAGGAAAATGTTGTTAGAACTCTTCCACTCTACTGCAATGGAAATAAATTGGGAATCAGACACTTTACCTTCTATCCCCAGAACATTTTGCTCCTTGTTTTCTTCTGAAACTTCAAACTTCCTTATGATGTCAAGGCAATATTCTGTGGTCACATTATTCATCTGCACAAAAATGACAGCATTGGTGAACATATTTTTTCTAGTATGTGACCAACATGTCAAAATATACTTCAGACCCCTGTGTCTGGCTGAAAACCTTGTGATCAAACACTGAACTCAGTCAACCGTGAATAAGACACTATTCTAAAATGACCTTTGGTTTTTTTCTGGGGGGAAGAGGGGGAAGGAGAGGGGGGAAGGAGGGTTGGTAAGTCTCTACAAGCCTCATGCTCTTTATCCTTTAACTTTCAGGATGAACATGGCAGAGAATTCCTAATCACAACTGTACTGGTTGGTTTAAGAGCTGAAAATTTGCAGGAAAAGAGTCTTTAACAGTTTGAGTTCCAATATTATATTAGTAAGTACAGAGAAAGGATTGATACTGATATTTTGAATGCATTTTACTTTAAAAAAAATCTGATTTTTCCTCACACCTGTTTTCGACAATTAACTTCACTGCTTTCAACAGTTACCTGTGATACACAGGAGATGTGACAGAAGGATCTGGTCCAGAGATAAAAGTCTGGCCCCACTGAAGTCAGCGGGAGTTTTGTCAGGATTTTTTCCTAGTTATCTCTTTTCTATAATGACAAGTAGCTTTTTTCATACCCTAAACTTAACAGAAGGGAAGTGAAAAAATGGTTAGGTTAGGCATATTTTTTCCACAAAAATGATACTATAATATTTCCATAAAGCTTCTCATTCTTCACCAAAGTTAGTTCAAACACTGGCTTTGCACAACTTCAAATTAAAACATCAATCATACTTCAAGCAAAAGATTCCAGGAAGATTGATATTTTCTTTCTCAAATTGTACCTAATCTGTATTAAATATTATTGCTTCAGGCAAAGGCAACAAGGCAGATTGCTCAGTGTAGTAGGTTATTTGCTATTCACGGTTCAGATTCAAAGAAATGTTCCCTTGGTGGCTTGTTGCTCTTCCTTCTCGTTGGCTGGAGGAATTTACTTTCTTTTGGCTGGCATTTCCAGTGACTTTACTACTTCTATAGCCTTGATTTGCTTTTCATCCTCCCTACCATTGTCTGTAGGTAAGCAGGCCCAAGTACCAACACTCACCTTTGTGGAGATCTTTTGAGGAAGGTTGAGATCCTTGAGTGGAGCTCTTTAAGGGCCTAATTCTGCCAGGTGCTGAGCATCTCCCAAGAGATGGTGAAGGCCCTGACTCCCATGACCACTTCTCAAGAAGCACTCAGCACCATACAGCATAGGGCCAAAATGTGAAAGAAAGTGGAGGGGGGAGGGGAAATCTTAATGTGCAAACAGTGCCTGTAAGCGTCATAATGGGAGGAAAATAGATAGTGATATTAGTAGATATAACATAAGATCGGCCATACTGGGTCAAACCAAAGGTCCATCTAGCCCAGTATTCTGTCTTCTGACAGTGGCCAATGCCAGATGTCCCAGAGGGAATGAACAGAACAGGTAATCATCAAGTGATCCATTCCCTGTCTCCCATTCCCAGCTTCTGGCAAACAGAGGTTAGGGACACCAACTCAATATGGACAGAAGTGAATTATCCTAGCTAGTGAGAAGTTCACCAACTGAGAGGAAGGGACAGAGTCTCATCTACTATCCCCAGACCTATGTGCACTATTTAAAACTAGCAGTAACTTGGGAAACATTCATGTTGGTAGCAGTAATGGAACCTGAAATATTGCTGGGCTGCACACGCAAATGGGCAGGTCTGATATTCCATCTAGTAGAGGGCAATGATGTCTCATTGCCTCTTGTAATGGTGACTTAACATTCTCATATATTAGAACAATCCTGGAAAGATTTACTCATATGCTTAACTCTATGCACTGTGAGCAGTCCCTGTCAAGGAGTTACCCACAGTCATAAACATAAGCATGTGCATAAGTCTTTACAGGATCAGGACCAGAGAGAAGCCACATCTGATGTTTCTGCTGTCAGTTACAGCAACTTTATGCTAGGAAAATCCATTAACTGCCATAAAGTTACTCCAGTGACTGAAGTGAGAGCAGAATCACTGTCAATATTTGCCACTTCATCAATGACTGTAATACTAAAGTACTTTCTGTTCAGTCAGGAAGGTACTGCAGTTACAGCAGGTACCTAAGGATGTTGAGATTCTAGTGATACACAGAGAGAGATATTAATCCTGATGTTGCTTTGACACTATTTCTTTGGATCTCATTTGAAAAGAACCTTGGCTATTGAAATGCAAATTGTCAAGCAAAATGAGATGCTATTATCTGCAGGCCTGTCTCTCAGAGGTTTACACGTGTTCACTCAACCACAAAAAGTAGTTCTCTAATGAGGTTTTCTGGCAACTTTTTAATGCACACAAATGCAACTGCATAAAAGTTTTCCTGGCAGAATTTGATCTTTATTCTGCACCAGGAATCATTTCATCTTACACTGCTATTTGATTTTTTTTAAAGTCCAAATAACAATGGTACAATGAGGTCTCCCCTGACAACACAGTCCATAAAGCCAAAAGGATCTGATGTCATTCCAGCATGAGGACGTTGGAAAAGTTTGGCAAACTGGTCATCCAGATCTTCTCAGATGTCTTCATAGACCACGATAGCTGGCTTTATCAAGAGCTTCTGCCAGGTTGATACAATCTATGTAAACATCTATACATTGTCCCTTGGTCTTCCCTGCAATTTTGGAGTAGATAAGGTCATGTTAATAGTGCCCTATTGTGATTGAAACCTACTTTGTGATTTTTTGAGTGTAGATGGTCTATGCCAGTGGTGGGCAACCTGCAGCCTCCGGGCTGCATGCAACCCATCAGGGTAATCCGCTGGCGGGCCGTGAGACAGTTTGTTTACATTGACCGCCCACAGGCATGGCCGCCCACAGCTCCCAGTGGCCGTGGTTCGCCATTCCAACCAATGGGAGCTGACTGGCCATGTGCAGTCCATGGGCCACAGGTTGCCCACCACTGGTCTATGCTCTCTGTATGTATCTATAACACTGAAGAGATACCACAGTCACTTTGAGCTCTTCCCCTCAGATACTAATGATATTGGTCTCTCTTTTAGCTATTACGATACTACTTCTGACTCCCAGGTACTGCAAAGAAATTAGAGGGTGAGTCAGTGTATCACATCCCCACTTATAAAGGTCAGCAAATGTTCCTGGGCCTCCTGGATTTTTACAGATTTCATGGCTGCGATGGTTTTGCAAACATCTCCAAAAGCAGAAGTTATCCAGGGTTATTCTGCACCACCCATTGTTTCACATGATATGTGATAAACCTGTGGTAAAAATGGATGGTAAAATGTTCACACCATTAATGCATGATGCATACCTTTGTCAATAAGGCTATAAGACACTTCTTCTAAGGACCACAGGCATTTGTGGCAAACTGTACTAAGCCTAAAAGCACAGCTAGACCATCCAGAGTCCCGCATGTCACTAGTAATGTCCCTATTTGCCAGTATTGGCTCCAATTCAAGAAAGCACTTAAGTATGTGCTTAAGTCCATACGCAAGACAATGCTTAAGCATACACTTGAGTTCTATTGATTGCTATGGGATTTAAGCCTATGCTTATGTGTTGCTGTGAATAACATTTTCCTTAATGGGGACCATTTTTTGGGACTGCTAGATGCTACCATAATACATTCAGAAGTGTGGCCCCATTGTGCCAGGTGCTGTTCAAACCCAGTGTAAAAGACAGTCCCTGCCCTGAAGAGTTTACAGTCTAAATGGACAAGAGAGTCAGACAAAATGGACAGACTCAAACTAATATCAAGCAAAATATATGCAAAAACTGAAGCAGAAAACACAACCAGAATGTCAAATTATTAAAGTGAGGGAGACTTCTGCTGAAATTCTCTTTCTCAACCATCATCATCATCAATTGTGTAGATGAGAAACGTATCAGGTTGCGCAGAAGACTGAGGCTGTCTGACCATGTGCCTAAAGTCTATTCAGTCTCCCTCTGCACAGAGGTGCCTTCTACACCATTAGCAGGGTTTCGACATTCCTGTGTCTTTTCCTTTGCCTCTGCCAGTTTTGAGTGAGCACTCAGTACTCTAGAGGAAGCAGGCACATTTACCTTTGCTTTACTGGGGTGCGTAATGCAGGATGTACAGCTAGATCAGTTACAAAATGAATCCAACTGGCAAATGTTTATCCAAATCTAAAAATTCCAAATACACACTTGTTATTCAGCATTCATCTCTCCTTTGGTACTATACTTTTCTTTATTTTTTGGTTCATACAGTAGAAAATCTTTTAACCTATTATATTTGATTTTTTCCTTTAACAGAGCCTTTATAAATCAGCTCCACTGAAATATGATTACGTTATTAGCACACTGCTTCACACATCACATCTAAGAACATTTAAATGTTAAAAAGTCAGGGTGAGCAGATTGCCAAGCATGTTAAAAACTGGGGTTGTAGTAGAGGTTTGTAGAGGTTTTTTTCTTCATCTTTTAATAAGCAGAGATGGAAACAATTATATTATCAGCTGATTAAATTCTATACTGAGAGATGCATAAACTTTAATTTTCTATCTCTCTTGCTGTTTTTTCTTAGTTATGTGACTAGAATAATTTCAGAATCGCTACATATCAAAGATTGTGTTTCTATAGTGCTGCATTTTTAATATATTGGATTAGCTCTAAGTACTATAACACAAGAAGAGTAAGATTTTGATGGCTATTCTCAAGGCACTTGTCTTGATAAATATTTTAAAATTACCCTAAATGCACTGATGGTTCAACCTATAAAGAGTCTTACATGTAAAATACAAAAACTGAAATGTCTGAGATAGTAGGCATGACGACACAAAGGTTAATCCTGAGACTTCAGTTGGCCCAACCTTGCACTGTAGTTATAATTTCTGTTCTGAGTTAATGAGATTAGTTTTGATGTTAGTGTCTGTTTTTTCTCAGGGTCTTAAAAATATAATTTGCCAAGAAGGTGAAATAAAATCTCAGCACTCTACAGGCATTGAATTTTCTTGGTTAAATAGAATAATTGGCCAGTGTTTTTGAGAGTTATGCACCAGAAGTAGCATCTGGTTTAGTGGCTCTTCCTTACCATGACTTTTAATGCTAAAAAGTAGAAGATTTGGTATTTCTAAGAATTTTCACTTAAACTTTCATGCCAAGATGCCAGTAGAGAAGCAGGTTTAACAGGTTTTGAACAACAGCTCCAAGATTTTAAGATGAAGTTAATAACTTTGTCATAATATGACCGTCCTGCCCCTCTCAGCCCAACCCCTCACAATTGGTCCTTCTCAGCTGCATTACAGAATCCTTAGAACAGCGTTCCTAAAGATTGCTCAGGGTTTTCAGTGCTTCAGAAGAAGCAGGGTGAGCACTGGGTACATTTGTTTGCAGTGCTCCTCATGTCTGAGAGAGACCGGCTGCACATGACTGAGCAATTTCTTTTCTGTGGAAGACAAAGAATGGGAAATGGAGTGTGACCCGCGAAGACAACAACTGGTGAGCATCTTGGAGGCTGTGACCCATAAGCTGAGAACTGCTGTTCTCAGCTAGTGGAAAGAAACATGACATTAGTGGATGACATGCAGGTTCTTATGGACTAAAGCTTTCAACCAAACCTCAATACAAATACCGAGCATTGCTAGTATACTGAAATAACTATACGCTGTAATCATAGGACAGAAATGTCTGTCAGCTCATACCTCTCTCCCTCCAAATGTTAGAGAGAGCACAGGGGATGGCTCAGTTTGCTTCTTAGAAAATTTTATTTATAACTCTAAGCTAAACCTGCATCATGAGAAGCCTACTAGAATTACACAGGATAATAGAAATGAGAACACTTCACTGGAGAAAATAACTGATTATCCAAGCTCAAGTAGAGGTTGCTCTTTGATTGTAAAGGCTATTCCTAGCAGAGCCTTCTTTCATCACAAGCTGTTGAGAATTACCTTTTTCATCATTTCCACAGGCTCCTTGATGTCTGTGTGGCAGTGTTTGCGTGTGGAGTAGGAATGAAAATGTCTAATCTAGGCAAAGGCTACAGCTGTTAAGGGACAGGAATCCCTTCACTTGTGCTCTTTTAACTTTAACTTGAGAGAGATGACACAGACTCTCAATTCTAATTAAAATTTACTTTCATTAAATTGTAAAATGCCTTCTACATGAATGGTAATGTTTGAATATAGGCATATATGGATACATCAGTTACTGAATATGGCTAATTAATACTGGAACTTAAATCTTTTGAATGTAGGGATTTATACGCTGCTGATGAAAGACTGATTTTGATGCAGGCATCTTTCTTTCAAAAAACAACCCTCTACAGGTTCAGCAAGATGTTGTTTTTGAGTATGTGAACAAGTCATCTGTTGGCCTAAAATAAAATGTCACAAACTGGTGACACTATCACCTGGCTTGCAGAGGAGAGAGTGGAAGGAGGATGTCACAGTCCCTCTGGGAAGGATCTTAGTAAACTCCACCATCCAACAATCAGATGTTAGCAAAGCAGCAGCAGAGTGATGAGTAAGGCTCCATGTTTGTCACGGAGGTCACGGATTCTGTGACCTTCCATGACTTCTGCAGCAGCCCATGCGGCTGGCCCGGGAGCCGCCTGAGCAGCTCGGGCAGCCCCTGGGCCAGTTGCACCTGCTGTTACTGGGGCAGTCTCAGACCCCGCAACCCCCCAGTTGCAGGAGTTTGGGTGTAGGGGGACTCAGGGCTGGGGATTGGGGTGCAAGGCGGTGCTTACCGGGGGTGGGGGGCGGGGGCTCCCTGGAAGGGCGACAGGAACTCCCCTCCCTCAGCTCCTAGCTCCACTTGCTGCCTTCGCCTGCAGCTCCCATTGGCCACGCTTCCCAGCCAATGGGAGCTGCAGAACCGAGGCTTGGGGCGGAGCGGAGACAGCACGTAGAGCTAGGAGCTGGAGGTCGCTGCTTCCCAGGAGCCGGGTAGGTAACCTGCCTCAGCCCCACCAACCCCTCCCCCCCAGCACCCATGGCATACACACCCCCGAGCACCTGCAGCACCTCCAGGGCCATCCCCAAGTTTTAGTCAGGACAGGTCACGGGCCGGGAATTTTTGTTTACTGCCCATGACCTGTCCATGACTTTTACTAAAAATACCCTGGACTAAAACGTAGCCTTAGTGATGAGATGTAGGATGACCGAAAAGGGGCACGTGGAGATCAGGGAGAGCTCTCTCACGTAACATTCCCATCACTCATCAATAAGCTCCTCATAGGGAAGAGGGAATAAGATAACAGGAAGGGCAGTAGGGGAGCAAAGAAGTTGGGGAAAGGAATGCAACGCCAAGAGTGTCCATCCTAGTACCAGGATACCAGTTGGTAGGTTTGTTTCAAATGAGTAGTGATGAGGTAGACTTTGCTTTCTCTCAAGAACTAATTCTCAGAATGCAGAATCAAAACACTAGATTAAATCAAGCAAAGGATATACCTTACAATTAAGCAACACAAATAAGCACTACAAAATGTCAAGTAAACAGAGGACACATACTTATCCCAGGTGGGGATTTTTTTTTTTAAATGAAGTCTGTTCTGCTACCCACCCCCAAGAATCTCTTCAGTTGTGTAATAGTGAGACAGAGGCCCAGCATGTTATAACTGCAAATCAAACTAACTGGGCATGAAAAAATAAGGACAAAGTGAAGCAGTCTGTGTACAATCACTGGTATTACAGTGAATAAAACACAGCCACAACAGCAGTCACACCCAGCATGATTGGCCTCTGTCAGCAGCAGTGTGCCTGCACAGCCTGCGGCAGGTTATGAAAGTCACAAATTGGGCTCTACAACTGTAAATGGATATAAAGACCATAAACACATGCTCTTTAGTAACAAAGAGACAACTAACTTCAACCATCACTGCTGCATAAGCCATATTAAAGCCACTCAAAATTCTTCATCAAAATATTTCTTGGCAAAAAAAATGATTGTAACTAAAATTTAAAAATATTTTATTGAAATTTTCCAGTTTTGAGAGAGAGACTTTTTCAGTAGAAATATTTGATATTTTTCAGGAATTTTTTTATGTTTAATGAAATTTTGTGGCTTGTTTTCTTCCCTTGAAAAAACCAAAAACAATTTCTGGGAAATTTAGAACACACCAAAAAAAAAATGTAAACTTCCTGATAAAATACATTTTTTTAAATTATCTCTATTACTACCTGTGATTATGTTGACCTCTAGTGGTTCTTGTCTACAAAGGACACTATTATTATTTATTTGTATTCTGGCATTGCCCACAACATGCTAGGGTGCTGTCCGCACACTAAAGATAACTTTCATACACAAACATCTTAATTTATTATATGTATGATTGTAGCCCTTAGGACTCCTAGCCATGGATTAGGACCTCACTGTGCTAGATGGTGTGCAAACAAAGAACTAAAAGACAGCCCTTGTCCCAGAGAGTTTACAATCTATCCATATTTAAACATGTGAGTAAAAGTAACCTGATTTTCAGAGGTGCTCAGCACCTGCAGCCCTTATAGTCTTCACTCTGAGTTGCTGGTACTCAGCAACTCTGACAATCAAGCCGCCTTTTAACTAAATGCCTAAATGTGGATTTCGGTGCCTACATTCAAACAATCTATCATAGTCTCTGACCTGAAGAGCTCAAATACAGAGATCTGTACATGTTTTATAGCTTATCTCTAATATTTTTTAAAATAAAAAGATACCAGTGCCCTACCTGGTAAAGGCAATGAAAACATAGCCTGTTACAAGAAGAGAACTGCTGAGTACTAAACTAAAATTTACACACAAAGAAAAGCCTTGTAAGTACCAAACCAAATCTCACAAAACTGTGGATCTCTCTTCAAAAATCTTTTAAAAAAAGAAGCCCTGTACAAAGAACATGGATTTTTAACAGAAAAAGTTGTTATAAAGATTTATATTTCTAGGCACACTGCCTAACCCCACTCTCACATAGTCAAGTCAGAATTCAAAACAGGAGATTGTCATAATGTAATACTCCAATAATATTAATACTGATATATTGCTCATCACTTCACTTTAGGGATGAACAAAAGATTATATTTAAACCACAATAAAAAAAACACTAATCAATTGTCAGTAGTGATAGCTTGAAGTGAGTCCACTTTATTAACCTGTACAAGTAGCTTGAACTTTGTAATTTTTTTATTAATTTGTCAATACTTAAGTCCTGCTTTTTAAAGGAATAGTAGCTGTTATTTATGTTTTGAAAATGACATAGAGGCTCCTAGGTTGAGGATAAAATTAAAGAAACGTATGAAATTTAATTAAGTTTAAATGAAAAGATGTTGTATCAAAAACTCATTTTAACACAAATTATTGAACTAAAACTAGACAGGCAAATCAAATGTGGGAAGTCACAGACTTCAGCTTTTTTCTCATCCTACTTTATTTTGTTAAAAACCAAGTAATTGTTTCTTCTTTAGAATGTAATTTGTATTGTCCTCACTCACTTTCTAACACGCCTTTCAAAATTTTTATTTATTAAAGGTCATATTCTGCCACCCTTACTCATATTGCACCCTCCTTTCAATATAAACAAACTTCCTAAAGGCAAGAAAAGTTATAAGATACAACATTACAGCACTAAAATACATTGCTTGTTGGATTACTAACATTAAATGTAAACTTGTTATCTGGAAGTCAGTATAAGTCAGTGTGGATATTTACCTAATATGCCACTTTTTCCCCCAGAGGATCAAAAAGCTCCTGCTTTCCAGAAGCATTAGATTGTACTACAGTATTTAATCAGATTCGTTTTGTCTCAGCATCTCCATTACAAATCCTTCATTTTCAGCATTCGCTAGTGTTTACAGCCTGGACAAAGTAAGAGCTAACGTTGGTCGCACACTTTTGTTGTGTGTTAAAACAAAACCATCAGCTACATTTATTATTCTCGTACCTTTTGTTCCATCTTCAGAAACTGAGCAAATTCTTCAACAGTGAGATGATCTTTCTTATCGCTGTAGCTCAAAAGCAACAAGTAGAGATCGCGTCGTAATGACATCATCTTGTAAAACACAGAGAATTCTTCAAATGTTAGGGTTCCCTGATTCTCATCTGTGTCAGCTTCCTGAGGAGCAAGAACATGCAAGTAAGTGTGTTGGGTAGGTGTATGATGAATTCAGGGAATGAAGCAGAATAGAACATCCGTATAAGAAAAGATACACTTTCAATACACTTCAAGCCACATGACTCCACTCATCCTCAACAACACTAGCAAGCACTTTCTAATGTTACAACAAAATTAAAAGGATTCTTATTGGATTTCTTGGCAGAAATTCAATTGTTAAAGTAAAACGACAAAATCTCAGTGAAAAGGCAAATTCTGTCTTTAGATTTCATTGTATTAAATTATTTCATGAGAAGGACTCACATTGGGCCAGATTTTGATCTCAGTTACTCTGGTGTAAATCTAGAGTGATCTATTGATTCAATGGAGTCACACTGGATAGCATCAGAATCTCACCCACTGACTTCATCGAAGGTAGAATCTGACATTTATAAATGTTCTGTATAATATTACAATGCTAAATGGATGTCAACATGATAAATTACAATAATCATTTAATCCCATTGCCAGCAAAGTGTACGCGAACAGGTTTAAGTCTGCAATAACAGCAGCGTTCCACGCAGAAAAATATCTCCACAGTCTTGATTGCTGTTTTAGTTTGTCCTCAGAGCTATTGTTAGAGAAGAAAACAGTACTTACTGTATGTAATTACTGCTTTTTACTTTGAGCATCTGCCTAAGAGGATTTGCTTTGGATTTACAAAACATTTGACAGCAGTTTTATCGTTTATTTTGTCTTTGATCTACGTCTTTACAGTAACCCAAACTCAAGAAAGGCTTTTCCCTGCTGAGTTTTAGATTGTAAGCAGCTCAAGGAAGAAAAGGTGAAAGGAAGTTTTAACATTATAGATGGTTCAGTGTCCTATGTGTATCCATGAATAACACCTCTCATTCACAGCAGTGCATATTGGTTTTCTTTATGCACTTTCTTTACACTTTAGTTAACCAAGGCCTTATGCCCTGATCCTGCATCAAGATCTGCAAATGAAGATGCCTGCAGCCAGGCAGAGTCCTATTAAAGAAAGTGCCGCCTTAACTTCTCTGCACAGGACTCTCCTTTTTGTAAAGAGCTCTTCCCAATGTTGATTTGCCCTGAATTCCCTCGGGATGGGTTTCTCTGTCCAACAGTTTACCCAATAAAATGTGAACACAAATTCTCACTACAGCCTGCATCTCACCTAGGGTTGCCAATTCTGGCTGGACATATTCCTGGAGGTTTCATCACATGACATAATATTTAATTGAATATTAATCTTTAATCCCTGGAAACTCCAGGACAATCCTGGAGGGTTGGCAACCCTAACCTCACCGCCGATCCTTTTTATTCTGGGGTCAGCTTTTCCTTCCTCCACCCACTCTCATACTTGCCAGAGTGAAGCTGCTGATCAGCCAGCCTGGAACTACAGAGAACAGCACCCCCAGTCGTCCAGTTTGGAACTACACCTTCCATTTTCACTTTCCCTTTGAACAAAGCATTCAATTTACCATTTGTTTTAAACACATTTCTAGGCTATGAATATCACTGTACTCTTTATAAGTAAACACCAGCATTAAAAATACAGCCTCAGAATTCCATGGCTCGACACCACTCTTTCCTTACAGACCAGTTATCTCCTGGATGCTTTTGCTCTGCAATATATAATCCTCCATATTCAGTGGTGCTGGGAAAAGAAAACTGTACTGGGGTTAACTTTCCCAGACCTATGTCTGATGGCAAATTTGAAATCTTCTTCTAGTCAGGCTATCAGTCAATTCCCTGTAGTCAGCTTCTGGTGTCCTCACTCATGAATGCCTCATGGCAAGATTTACCTGGATCACATTCCTCTAATATTTCCTGGATTCTTGGTAGCAGGTTATCTGTCTGGCATAGTTTTACTATTTAAGTCTACATAATCAAAAACAAAGGTGCACATCTTCAGTGGTGCAAGTGAAAACTGGGAACAGGCGGCACAGAGCCCAACTCTGTCAGGAGGAATCATTTAGGACAGATTTCTAGCTGCTTTGCATCACCTGAGCAGCACAAAGCTGCCTGATCCAGGACTGAGAATTTGGCACAGTGTCTATCCTTTATCATGTATAAATCTGGTGATACGGGAAGCCCACTGGACCCCTTGCACGAGTAAGGATGATTTGAGAAATAAGGGCTATACGCCTGGTCCCCAAGCCAGTCTAATAACAGGATAATCTTTCAAAACTTAATTCTTTCTTCAACACTAAGGGTTCTAACCATTTCTGCAAGGTCTATGATATGAACCCAGATATAGGCTGGCAGCAACAAAGGGGAAAAAATTCAACCTGTTTTTGAAATCAAAATAATAGATGGCTCTGGGTTACAAAAAGGTTGCCTGTTAATGAGATCATGTTACATCCCTAGATATTTCTTTTCCATTTGAAAGTGAACTAAAAGGCTTTTGCCTGTCAATACGTGACTTCACAATTCTCTGTTTCTCTTGCAGCTGCAACATTAGTAAAACCTAAGGAATCACTGGGAGCTGCATTCATTACACCAGTGGTTCTCAAACTGTGGGTCGGGACTCCAAAGTGGGTCACAACCCCATTTTAATGGCATTGCCAGGGCTGGCTTAGACTTGCTGGGGCTCAGGGCCAGTGATGAGCTGCCAAAATCTTAACAACCGGTTCCCTACCGGGTCTTCAGCAGCACTTCGGCGGTGGGTCCTTCACTCGCTCCAGGTCTTCGGCGGCACTTCGGCGGCAGGTCCTTCAGTGCTGCCGCTGAAGTGCCACAGAAGACTCAGAGCGCCGCCCGGTGAGTACAAGCCCCACGTCTTTTTTTTTTTCCAGTCATCCCTGCCGGAGCCCCATCAAAAGTGTTCGAATCGGGCCCTGCAATTCCTAAAGCTGGCCCTGCACATTGGGGTTGCAAAATTGTATCGGGGGCCAGGTAGGGAAGGCTGTGTCTCCCAAAACACCCTGTCCCCCCCATCTGACCCCCACCCATGTCCTGCCCCCGACTACCCCCCTCAGAACCTGCAACCCATCAACCCCCCGCTCCTTGTCCCCTGACCACCCCCTCCCTAGACCCCCCACCCTAACTGCCCCCCCGGATCCCCCCCCCTCCCCCCCCCCCCCCCGTTCCCCATCCCGACCGCCCCCCCCCAAAACCTCTGCCCCCTCCAACCGCTCCCTGCCCCTTATCCAACCCCTCCTCCCAGCCCCAGCCCGGCCCCCTTACCATGCTGCTCAGGGCAGCGTGTATGGATGCCACACGGCCCGCTGGAGCTCGCAGCCCCACCCCCTTACCATGGCGCTCAAAGTGGCAGGAGCTGCAGAGCTGCCCAGGAGCATCCAGAGCGCTGGCGCCGGCGGCACGGCACGCTGAGCCTCTGCGAGAGGGGGGAAGGCAGGGGAGGGGCCGGGGAGCCTCCCCAGCCAGAAGATCAGGCAGGCCGGACAGGATGGTCCCACGGGCCGGAGTTTGCTCACCCCTTTAACAACCGGTTCTACACCGGCTTCTAAATTTAACCATCGGTTCGTGCTAACCTGTGCGAACCAGCTCCAGCTCACCACTGCTCAGCAGGGCTGGCTTTAGGCCGATTCAGGCGATTCCCCTGAATCGGGCCCCGCGCCTAAGAGGGCCCTGCGCCCTTGCTGCCGCCGGTATGCCATACCGGGGCAGCCAGCTTCCCCAGGGGCAATTTAAAGGGCCTGGGGCTCCCAGCAGGGGCTGGAGCCCCAGGCCCTTTAAATTGCCACCAGAGCCCCACTTCTGGAGCCCTGGGGTAGGGCTGCGGGGCTCTGGGGGCTATTTAAAGGGCCCGGGGCTCCCCTTGCTTCCACCGCCCTGGCCCTTTAAATAGCCACGGGAGCCCCGCTGCTTCCCCAGGGCTCCAGCAGCTATTTAAAGGGCCGGGGCGATAGAAGCAGCAGAGCCCCGGGCCCTTTAAATAGCCCCCAGAGCCCTGGGGTAGCGGGGGGCTCCAGCTGCCACTGCCGCCCTGGTCCTTTAAATAGTCGCCGGAGCCCCGCCGCTTCCCCAGGGCTCCCTCGGCTATTTAAAGGGTCAGGACGGTAGAAGCAGCAGAGCCCCGGGCCCTTTAAATAGCCCCCGGAGCCCAGAGGTCGTGGGGGGCTCTGGGGGCTATTTAAAGGGCCAGGGCTCCAACTGTTATTGCCGCCCTGGTCCTTTAAATAGCCGCGGGAGCCCCGCTGCTTCCCCAGGGCTCCGGCAGCTATTTAAAGGGCCGGGGTAGTAGATGCAGGGGAGCCCCTGCCCTGCCCCTGCTGCCCCTCCTGCCCGCACCAGCCCTACCCCCCGCCCCCCCTGCCCTGCCCACAGTGGCAGCCAGCCCTTGCCCTGCCCGCAGTGGCAGCCAGCCCCTGCTGCATCCCCTGCCCGCACCAGCCCCACGCCCCCTGCCCTGCCTGCAGCCAGCCCCTGCCGCACCCCCTGCCCTGCCTCCAGCCTCGCACCCCCTGCCCTCCCCGCACCAGCCTGTCTCCAGCCAGCCCCGCACCTACTGCCCTGCCTCCAGCCAGACTCTACCGCCAGTCAGCCCCTGCCCTGCCTCCAGCCAGCAATGTACGTAATATATAATTTTATTATTACACTGCTCTACAGCCAAAATGCTTCTGAAATAAATGTAATCAAACTTTACTAATTCTGGGTCACTGAGAACGAAAATGATGCTTAAAATTGTTGATTGGCTCTAGTTTTCAAGATATGCTATTGGGTCAGTATATACGACCCTTGACTTGGGAATGGCGGAGGATAAGTGAGTTATAAAGGGAAGGGATCTCAATTTAAACCAGAAATGACTAAAATACATCTTTGACTGGATCTATGAATAAATCTATGACTGGGTTTGGACAGTACTTGCTTTTTAGGCAAAACAATGAATGATGCAATCTGAAGCTGGTATTGCGTCATACATGATATGAATTGCATCATGTTATTCCTAGAAGTCATGGATGATGCAATCATAACGAAGCTTACATCACTCTGCTGAACAAACTGCCCTATATCAGCTCTAGAAATCATACAGTGTCGTGCTCTCTTATTTGTCAGTGTTTGATTTTGTAAAGGGACACATTTCTGTTTAGCCAAAGTGAGCAGAGATGCCTCGTACTTGTGTGAACAGTGCAGATAACTTCTGCTATGTTTGTGGTGAAGTGACTTTTGCATCACAAAAACGCAGTATAACCACTATGGTTAAGAAAGCCTCTCACCTTTATTTTGGCTGCAAAATTGGAGATCAGGACAAGAGGTGGGCCCCACACATATGCTGCAACACTTGTGCAACAAATCTTCGCCAGTGGTTGAACAGGAAAAGGAACTCTATGCCTTTTGCAGCCAATGATTGCAGTGCCAATGATTTGGAGAGAGCCAACAGATCATACCAGCAATTGTTACTTCTGCATGGTGCCTCCAGTTGGGAAAGGTGTGTCAAAGAAGAAAAAGTGGACTGTGCATTATCCAAACATTCCATCAGCTATACGCCCAGTACCCCACGGAGAAGGACTGCCGGTTCCTGATGCACCAGAATCATTCTCACTTGAGTCAGACGAGGAAGAGGATGAAACTTCTGGTCCTGAACCATCAATGTCACAGGACCCACATTTTCTCCCATCCTCCTCCTCATAACACAAGGTGAACTGAATGACCTTGTCAGGGATTTGGAACTACCCAAGAGTAAGGCAGAACTGTTGGGCTCCAGACTACAGCAGTGGAATCTCCTGGCAGGTGATGTTCTGGTTTCCATGTTCTGTGACCGTCAAAAGGATCTTGTCCCATTCTTCTTCATGGAAGGTGATCTTGTAGCCTGCAACAACATCGATGGTGTGATGGCAGCCCTCAACATCGTTCACGATCCAGATGAGTGGAGACTGTTCATTGATTCATCGAAGACGAGTCTTAAAGCTGTTTTACTGCATAATGACAATGTTTTGCCATCAATTCCAGTTGGTCATGCAGTCCATATGAAGGAAACCTACAACATGAAACAACTTTTGAGGTGCATAAACTAGGACCAACATCAGTGGCAGCTTTCTGGCAATTTGAAGGTTGTTGCTCTCTTGCTTGGTCTGCAGACTGGATACACAAAGTACTGCTGTTTTCTCTGCGAATGGGATAGTCGTGCAAGAGATTCCCACTACATCAAGAAAGATTGGCCACTCCGACAGTCATTGGAGCCTGGGAGGAAAAGTGTTCAGCATTCACCACTTGTTGAATCAAGGAAGATTTTGTTACCACCCTTACACATCAAGCTGGGTCTGATGAAGAACTTTGTCAAGGCCATTGACAAAACACAAGCAGCTTTCAACTACCTCCGTGGAAAATTTCCAAGGTAAAGTGAAGCTAAGATAAAGGAAGGTGTCTTTGTTGGTCCTCAGATTCGTGAACTTCTTCGAGATGATGCATTTGACCATGCACTGCGTGGCAAGGAAAAGACGGCATGGAAAGCCTTCCAGTTAGTGGCAATAAATTTTCTCGGAAACAACAAGGCAGACAACTACAGGTTATTGGTGGAAAACCTGCTCAAGGCATACAAAAGCCTTGGTTGCAACATGTCACTAAAGATACATTTTTTGCACTCTCATCTAGATTTTTTTCCACCGAACTGCGGAGCAGTGAGCGACGAGCACGGCGAGCGATTTCACCAGGACATTGCAACAATGGAGAAACGCTATCAGGGCAAATGGAGCCCATCAATGCTTGCAGACTATTGCTGGACAGTGACAAGAGATGCTCCATTTAATGAATACAAGAGACAAGCCAAGAAGCGCCGAGTAGACACTGAATAGGACTAAACTATGTACATAATAGTTTTTTGCCTTTTGTTTCATAATCAATTTTATTTATATAACCCTTTTGCTGATTTTTAAAGTGTTACATAAACAGGACAGGTGAAATATTATCACGTAAAGCAACCATAAACACATGAAAAGACCTAGGTTTACAATTTATGATTAAAACTCTACTATCTACACAATATACAGAGACATAAAATGTAAAAACTTAAATATCTTAGAAACAGTAGCCAATCAGTTTTTTAATTGTCATATTTGAATTCAGCACATCAAAATACATAATAAATAGCACATTTTATCTCTGAAGCAGACGACTTCTCAAAAATTGTAGACCAGTGTTATTTATATAGTTATGGAAAGTAAATAATACATGCAAGAAATGAAAGGGTTTTTTTTACGTGTTTTATTTTTTTTAGTCATCCCTGCCAGGGCCCTGCCGAAAATGTTCGAATTGGGCCCCGCACTTCCTAAAGCCGGCCCTGCTGCTCAGGGCCCAAGCTAAGCTGGAGGGATTCAGCCCTGGATGGCAGGGATCAGGTTACAGGCCCCCTGGCTGGAGCGGAGGCCATTGGGCTTCGGTTTTGATCCCTTCCGCACCCAAGGCGGTGGGGCTCAGGCTTTGGCTTTGCCCTCCCCGCCCCCTCCCCCCCGCCAGGGGCTGTGCTCAGGCAGGCTCAGGCTTCGGCCCCCCCTCCTGGGGTCATGTAGTCATTTTTGTTGTCAGAAGGGGGGTCGCAGAGCAATGAAGTTTGAGAATCCCTATATTACACTATGTTAGGAGTTAGTGTTGCTGCCATCTAAATCCATAAACTCAGATCTTAGCACATAAGTGGAGAAGGAAATGATTTTTACATTTTTACAAGGTAACAATTAGGATTTGTTTGCTCATTTTAAAGTCTACACATACCCAAAGATGATTTATGATTTGGGGGCACAATTCAGTCTAAATTTTCTCTACATCTGCTAGCTAGGCCATAAGTTTCCCAGGCTTTGCACAGCCCTGGAGCGTACTCTGCATTCCAAGTCTTACAGCTGTGCAATGCTGGTTGTACCCCAGAAGATCAGGCACATTTTTGGGTTCTAGGATCTTAAACAACTTCTGTTTTGTGCAGTGGTCTGGATTTTGGCCCATAATCTTGGTTTTTGCATTTTGTTTTGCTCTTGCTATACCCAATACATCTTTAGCATCTTTCATTTCCAATGGTGTAAATATTAGGGATGGTCAAACAATGGTAAACATATTCTCAGAACATTTCAAAGTGAAAAAAAAATCAGTTCTGGTAACTTTAATTTAAAAACAGAAGTTTCTGCAAAAATTGTCATTTCCTTCTATGAAAAAAATGTCAAGCACTTCTGTATTAGGTAGCAGATCCACTTTGCATTTACACTAGGGTAAGAACAAATTTAGGTACAGAATGATGAGAACAAATGGTGCCCCAAACTGTGTGTTCTTCCTACAATTTGTGTGTGCTGGGCCCTTCATCATGAGGTATGTATATCTATATGAAGTTAAAAGTGATACAGTGCAAGCAACATGCACCAAGAGAAATTCTGTGGGCTACAAGAGAGGACAGGGAACTTAGAAGTTCCAACTCCTGGATTCTATTTCTGGCTTCCCAATGGATGCTCCATGCTGCCCCCTAATAGTCTAGTGTCCGATGGATTCACTGTCTGACCCTGGGCAAATTACTTCACCTCTCAGCACCTTATTTTGTCCGTCTGTAAAATGCAAATAATATTTACCTACCTCACAGGTGTTTGTGAGGCCACTTAATTCATTAAGGGCTAGATAAATCCTCTAGTTCAAACAGGAATCCAGGGAAGTCCTGTATTATACAGGAGGTCAGACTAGATGACCACAATGGTCCTTTCTGGCCTTATAATCTATGAATCATGGCACCTATGCCACAGCCCTGGGTGCTTGGATGTACGCATTGGGGAGATTGTGCCTCAGGCAGGCAAAATCTCTGGTTGGGCTCCTCTGGGCATGCGTGTTGAATGTAATCTGCTCCATGCTTTAGAATAGAGCAGACTGTTCTCTCTGCATCATGATCCCACCTCCTCCTTGCCTCTTTCAACTCTCTTTTCAACCTCTTGCTCCCCTTACTCACTACACATGGGTTTTCTCTTACTGTTAATGAGACATTGGTTTTTGGAAGACAGGCGAGGGGGTGGAGTAATGTTGAAAACCTAACTGAAGACTTCATTCTGCCACCCCTATTCACATTCAGAAGCACTTTACTACATAAGTAGGACCATTAATTTCAAATAAACTACTTATGGAATGGCATACGGTGAGGGACACGTACCTCAAAATAATACAACTTTTCTATCAAGACTAATTAATCAGCTGTGAAAATTCCTGGCATGGGGGCTTTTGCCCAATGTCAACAACCTAGCTAGAGCTAAAGGGTGAAATCACATAGCACAATGTTCTCTCCTTCTCTTCACTTATATAACAACAATGAAATGGAACTGTTTGCTCATTAATCTTTAAAAATACCCGCTTTTGTCAGTAACCTCAAGCTTTTCTCCAAGAAGGCAATATGCATTTACAAACAAAATATTGCACTGTGTGAAAAGTACACTGACCTGGAACATCTGTCGCACTTTTCTGCGGGGCAGATTGACATTCAGTTTATGCATCAACTGGTGGATCTCTTCAATATTCAACAAGCCATCTCCGTTCTTATCAGCTTCCTCAAAGGTCTGTTTCACCCAGGTGCAAATATACTAAGGAAATGTTAAACTACTTAAAATGAATGTTTTTATCTTGGAGAATTACAAAGGGCCAGGTTCTGCCAGCCTTGCCAAATATGACATATACCAATCAGTCCCACAATATAAGTAACGGTGGCAAAATTTGTCCCAAAGTAATAGAGTATGGCCCACAGTTTGCATCAAAACTGTGTCCACTTCAACACTCTGGGATAAATTCACCCCGGTGTAATTTCTCTGGAGTCAATAGACCAGATGCTGACCTCACAGCATTAGTGTACACATTAGTGTAACTCTCTTGATTTCCATTGAGTTATTCCAGATTTACACTGGTGTAACTGGGATCAGAATTATGATGTCATTGGAGCCACTCCAGGGATGTATTTGGCTCATGATGTGTACCACCAGGAGTCTTGCTCAATGGGCATGTGTATCAGTGACAAAATTAATTTAGTCCTAGAGCATGGAATAAAGATGACACACAGTGAAATTAGTCTAAGCAGATAACTACAAGACTGCAATTTCAGTAAGACCCTTATTAAAAAATTAACAGCTCTTGTTTTTCCATCCTCTCTCTCCTCTAAGTTTAAGCTTTAGTTTCTTCATGCTGCTATTTCACCTTTATATTTTTAATTCTTCCTTCTTCTGAAAGCTTCTTCTCCATTCCCCCATCACATTCTTAACCATAAATCCATCTCCTTAGGTCTCCTCTCCCCTCTAATCATGCTTTCTTCACCCTCTATATATTTCCTTTCTCTTTCATTCCCACCCGTTTCTCCCCATCCCACCCCACCGTCACTGCAGAGCACAGAGGGAGTCAGACATACTTGGGGGAAATAAGCTGCACTGTCCTATGTCCACACGTAATCTATATGCGCTGTGGAGTTCAGGGAAGGAGGGTGCTCCCTGATACACAATCCCTCTCTCGGTGCTACTCTAGACTTGTGTGGCGCATCCTAGCCCTTACAGCCTAGTGCCTAGCAGGCACAATTTGGTCATCAGTCTAGGAATTAAGCAGGAGGCAAGTGCTGTCTGCTTTAGCAGATACACAGGGCAGATGTGTTCTCCGACTGCAGCACTAGGCAAGAGTGTTTCACGAGGCAGGATTACATAAATAACATTCTGATCACTAAAATGGCTCTTCATAATTAGAGCACGAGCTTCAAAGAAAACACTGACTATGTACATGCATAAAGTTAGTCATGTTCTTAAGTGTTTCCCTGAATTGGGGGCATCGTGATCACAGCTTACATACCTGCATAAGTCGAAAACGCTTAAGTCTAAAACATAAAAGTCTTATTCAAAGCTCTTTGAAGTCAAGGGGAGTCTTCTCATTGGATCAGACCCTACATCCTCACTTCTTTCTACTAGACATTCACCACTAGCACGCACTCCTGCTCTCATGCCCCACCTCATTATCTTCTTTTATAACCAATTTAAAAATTAATAATATGAAACAAAAAGCCCTGGAGCTAGCAAAATGCATGTCACACTGAAGCAACCCAGCTTGCATTACTTTCAACGTTAGATTGTCAACTCTCTGAGGCCGGCACCTTGTCTTACAACATATCTGTGACGAGCCTTGGAGACCAATGGCACTACACAAATAATAAATTATAATAATATTCATATGAGTAGCCAAGCAGGATTGGACCTTTTGTCCTTCCTTTGTTTATCCAACTTACTCCTATAAACAAAGTGCAAAGCAAACAAGGAATGCTGGTCAAAACTAGGGTTTGAGGGGGGGAGGTTTCCAATTAAAAACAAACAAACAAAATGAAGTGATTGTATTTTTGTTTGACAAATTTTTGAAAACATTTTCATTTTGGAGAAAGGGATAGCGCAATAAAATAATGAGACTGTGTGAAGAAGAAAAAAATTCTAACTTTTTAATTTTTTTTCCCATTGGAAAAAAAGTCCAAGTGTTACTTTGCATAATTTTCTCTCACTTAGAGAAAGTGTACTTTTAAAAGTGAAGGTTACTTTCTTTCACTTTTTAACGTTTTAAAAAACTTTCCCTCCATTTTTCTAGAGGAAAAGGAGGGGAGGAAAGTATAAAACTAAGTGGTAGGCATTTTCCACATGAAAAAATTTAAAAATGTTGTGTTTTTTCCTGAAACATTTGTTGTTTTGAAATATTTTTGGAAAATTAAACATTTTTTAGTCAGTGAAGTAACTTTTTTAACAAGAAAACACAAAACATTTAATCAAAAACATCTAGAAACAGCTCCACTGTGACTATGTAAATTTTACCATCACCTGTATATTTCTGTCTTATAGGTTTAATGTTATTTGAATGCAGTTTTCTGTGATTTATCATCAACAACTGACTCTTCCACTCCTCATCCGTTTCCCTCCATCCTTCCCCAGCTGGTAGCCTCAATCTCCACAATCTCCTAGATGTCTCATTGTGATTTAAAGTTAACATGATCTTTCCCCTAAAATGAAACCCTCTCCACTCCTGTAAGATGTGAGCATCTGCTAAGACGTGCTGAGCACCCTCAATGCAGACTGATCATGTTGAGCGCCTCAAGAGTTTCAGTCAGTCCCTAACTTTGTACAAAGATGAAAATAAAGATCAGTTTTCCAACCGCTGATTTTAGGAAATGAAAAACTTTTCAAAAATTATACAAAGTGGCAAAATTTAAAAATATTCCCAATTTGTAACAATAATTTTAGAAACCAGTGACCTGATTTGTTCCCAATGCAATCAATGGCAAAACTTCAGTTGTCCCGAGTGGGAGGTGGAGTGTACCCATAAGACCAAACCACATAAAACAAACCAGAAATACCAAAATGAAAGCCAGAGCTAATGTCCTTGAAAGGATATTGATCATGAGTTCTTTGTCGTTTAGCAAGAGAATCCTCATCACTTATTCCAGCCATCAAATACTTAAGTCCTGTGATCCAGGTGCGAGCCTCCTCTGGATTAGAGGTGATCAGATCTAGTGACTCCATGTGGTTACCATGGTAAATGGTAAAGCAGCAACTTGGGTCAAAGTTCCCCTCGGTATGGCGATGGAATATTTCAGACTGTCGGCCTTCTGTCACTTTGTAAATTGAATCAATTACAACTGCAAGGAAAAGGGGAACAGAAAAATTAAGCTGCTTGGATGTTCATCCAGTTGCTTTGCATTTTCACATTCTTCTATATTTTTCAAAGTAAGTGTTTTTAAATAAAGGTAAACTCATAAGCCTTCACACTGAAAGGGCACTTTGGGTCACCGGCTTGCCCTTGTACAGGTGCAGGGGTGTGTGTGCAAGGAGCTTCCCCCTGACTTGCATTCCTGAACAGCAAAACTGACAGTGCCAGCGATCTCCTGAGTGTAGGATCTATTTCCTGAAATGCCCATGGAGTGCAATTCACTGCAGAAGGGGCAGGGAATAGATGGGGCATTGCCACCCTCCACCACCATACTCTTTTCCACCAACCAGCAGACATGAACAGTCACAGAAGGGATATGCACTATATACCATCCTAAGAGAGATAAAAGCAGCTGTGCTTCTCAGCAGTGGCATAGCGCTCATGGAGATATCCTAGTGCTCCTGGAGGGGAAGTATTGCCTCACACAGTTCCAGAAACAGGACAATACTTAACTATCACAAACTGGCCCTCTGATATGAAAACACCAAATGTGTTATTACCTGTAATGTTTCCCTGTTTTTTACTAACTATCAAGCCTTAGTGGCAACACCAGACCTAATTACTTACCTTTTACTAAGTAAAACGCTAGTTCCAGTAGGCACAATTTAGGTTCCCTATTTTTGTTTAGAAGGGATGGAGCAGGATAATTGTTTAAATCAATAACGAACGTCATGAAATAATTGAAAAATAAATAATTTTTATAGAAACAGAAAACACCACTGTGTTCAAATTTACTTTGAAGCAGTTAGAAAAGACCTAGATTTCATTTGGTATCTGGCAAAGAAATTAAGCAGGTTTTTCTCTGTCATCCTTCCAGAGAACAATCCAAATTAGTAATGCTAGGTTGCTTCAAAAGTAACTAGCCCTTCCTAAAGAAGAGCAGCCGGAGAAGAAGCTTTTAAAGTAGGCAGGTTCCTTTCTACTAAACTAGATTGGGAGTATCATCCCAAGGTAACACCTAAAACATCTACACCCTGTCACTCTGACTCCATGCTCTTCACTGTCCACCTTACTTGAACACTCCATCTGCAGCTCCTAATCTGTACAGCAATGATGCGAGAGTAAATCAGAAAAAGGTATTTTCAATACATTGACAGGTACTATTACTTTAATGACTGGGATCATTTTTGCAATTTCAAGGAACAGCTGCATTCTTCATAACTCTGCTACTCCCTTACAATTATACAGTTGGACAAACAGTGTGGGCAGTCCATTATTCCAGTTATTTATTACGTAGGGATAGATCAAAGAATACAGAGCAACATTTTAAATGGACTGCCTTTCTCTAACTGACTGTAGAGTCTTGTAATATTCAAATAAAATAGTGATGGCCGTACTTTGGCATCTAACCAAGTCATACACACTCCCATGAGTTTATTTATGATTCATGTAAATTTGGGTCAGCATTTTCACATCAGCCTGAATTGTGTTCTCTGTTTAATTAAAGAAGCAGTGTTTCCTTTTAACTGCAATACTTGGAAAATTATAGACAAAATACAGCAATGACTTACACACTATGCACAAGGAGGTCAATGGAGCTCCCCAGGGTGAAGTCAGTGCTTAGTTTGGTGCGCTAGGTTTTAAAAAAAAATATTATTGACTATTACCTACATTTATAAGATGCCCATCTCCATACTCTACGTAGCGCACTTTGCATCACTTAGATCAACAGAAGTATCACCTACCCCAAAATGGGAAGTGAACACTTCTCAGCATATTGCAGCAGCCAAACTAACTCCCTTGAAAGGACTAAGGATGGCAGACTACTAGCCAGGGGACTCAACTGTACCTACAAAGCTTGAGCATAAAGATGTACAACACTTCACACTGCAAAAGTGTTCTGGTTCAGATTTTTGACGGGAACACATTCCAGAGCTGAAGGTCCACTACTGACATCATCCTACCACCAGTTAATGTGAGCTCTACTTTTGGGGTCAGATAGGCAAAGTGTCCCTTCTGTAAGTAGGTGCTATGATGAGGCACAGGGGCAGAGCTGATCTCTGGAGATTGACCACATATGGCTTTCGTGATGGCAGCCAGCGCCTTTAACTGACAGAAGTGAATGACACACAAGACTGATGTAATATGGTCTAAGCGGTCTGTCCTTCACATAAGGCAGGCATGCCACATTCTGCACTAGCTGAAACTTCCAAGTGACTCCCAAGCATAGCAAATTAGCATAGCCCTGAGGTGAAGAAGGTCCTGAGTGTCACGACAAGGTCTATCTTTGAAAGGAAAGGATGCAATCTCTTGACCAGCTGTAGATAACAGAAGGTATTTTTGGCCACTGTTGCTATATGGGAACCAAGAAGCAGGGAGCAATGAATCCAGTAAAACTCCTTGACTGAGAACCATTTTGAGAATAAGTGAGCAGATCGCCTCAACTGAGTTCCTAAAAACACTTTCCCTTGCCAAACACCTCCATCTTAGCTGAAATGAGACTAAGCCAATTGGTTTCACCCGGGTCCCTGTTTTTGTAATATTTGTAACAATACCTCATTGACAAAGGGTCTTGTTTAAATTTGGAGCAGGAGAGAAACAAAATGGATTAGGGAGGCATTTTAAAATAGTATGTGCTTTTATGTTTATGAAATCATTTAAAAAATATTATTTGTACAACTACTTATCATGGCTCTTTCCCACCCAAAGACCTTGCTGATGCCTCACAGGAGGATGAAGGCAACGTGAATGGATCAGTCCATGTGTGGATCAGTCAGGGCTATTTTCCAATGTTGCTAGAGACACCTGAAGCCCTGCCATAGGAACTTGAAGCATCTTTTTTTCAAATGTACTCAGCTGTCATCACCCAGCCCTACAGCGTGGTTCTAGACTGAAAAGTGGCTATGTAAAATTGGCATCTTTTTACACAACAGATCTGCTCCTTGTGCGTCCTCATTCATAGTCGTTGAGTGACGAAAATCAGTTGTTTTATTGGTTTTTACTCCTGCTGGCCCTGTAGAGCAAACACAGTTAACAGAAGACAAGCTGGATTCTATTTCTTCTTGTGCATCATCAACAGATAATTCACTAAATTCCAATTACTTACACCTAGGCAAACCCATAGGTATCACCAAGAAAATAATCTGAAAACAATGGGAATACATGGGTGTATTTGATTTAACGTAGCCTGCCAAATTGTTGTTAGTGACGATGATGTGCAAAATGGAATAACCCAGCCTGACATTCCATTTAAACTGAATTTGCAGGGCTGGCAATTGAAATGACACATAATTTCACTTGGAAACTTAGTGCATTTTAAATAGCACTCAGGGAGAGACAATATACGTGGAACCCCTCAGTACCATTTTTATAGTCACTTTTCAGGGAAGAACTGCGCTTTAAGGTTCAATAATGCCAAATTCGCTCGTCCTGTCTGTTCTTACATAACAGCAAAAACATGCTGTAGGCATGTCACCTGATGCTGTCAGATTCAATCTGGTCCACAAGTAAGCTGTCACGAAACCTTAAGCCAGCAGAAATAGTTCCAGGATGTTTTTTCCAAACTCCAGTTGAAGCAGTGTTTATAAACAGACAGAGTGCAGGGACTGGATATCTGCTTGGCTCTTACATGCGTCACACTCCTTACACCTAGGGTGACCAGACAGCAAATGTGAAAAATTTGGACGGGGGTGGAGGGTAATAGGAGCCTATATAAGAAAAAGACCCCAAAATTGGGACTGTCCCTATAAAATCGGGACATCTGGTCACCCTACTTACACCCTCTACTCACACTGTGCACCAGCATAAGGTGTAGGTGGAATCTGGCTCTAAATAAATGTGATGTGGCCTTTTCACTAAATGTGTTAATAAGAATAAGGATTTCCATAAATTAGCTTAACATTTCTGGTAGCTTTTCTTTTAAATCTGGAGTTGGATCAGGGTATAAGATATTACACAGATTTAAGCTAGTATCTGGACTATTTTAGAAGATGTATTTTCTTGTAGGTTCTTATCTTCCCATACGAGGACAATGTACTAAGGCCAACAGTCTTCTCCTCCTGGTCAATTTATGCCAGGTCTATCCTATAACGTAATTTGTTGGAAAATATTACTACATGGTTAGACTAGCCTTTGTACTGTACAATGCATGCATGCCAACATGCTACTAAATTGCTACTATTAACAGAAATAAGTTATTTTTTTCTGGCAATAACACAGTGCCTGTCACAATGTATTTATTGTGCAAAATGGTCAATAAGTGTTTATAAGTATATCACATTTACAAGTATCACTAATAAGAGTTTATAAAGATACACACTATAAAGTACAGTTTTTCTCTATAAACCATGTGAATTCATATTCCAGTGCACAATTGTTCAAGCAATTAAAAGAAATATTAAGAGAATTTACTTTTAGCCTTTTCACTTTTTCTGGACGGTCTCCATCTGATGCAAGTCCTGTGTTCATCCAGGTAAAAGAGACGTACTAGCCCTTTTGTTCCACTCTTCAGCTTAATCATCTGAGTCCCAGACTGCATTACACTCATACATCTTTCAACTGAAAAGAAGATTAGAACAAATTCAACTAAAAGTCTATTTTGTCACACTAGTAAAAAGGCTTACCAACATCTAGCTACCATGTAAAACCTTTGATTTGCACCTTGTATGACAGGAATTAAACATTAATCTAAGAAAATAAAATTGGAAATGGAGTAGTTTTTAGAAGGCTTTGTAAAATCTGATCTTATACAAGCATGAGAACTGAATCTATCACTTTAGAATACAAAATAATTATTAATATATATAGATGGTACTTGGTTCTACAAGAGAGCCATGTATTCCTGTTCAAAGAAAGAATAATGTTGAGCTTCTTTAAATACTGCTTCCATCACCAGAAATCCAAATGTCATGTACAGGTTTTCAAGTCCAGAAACAATGAGCACCAAAGACATCCTATTGCTTTTACATCTGTAAATTCCAGTCAGATAAAATCCTAGCATACAAACATGATTTAAAATAGATGTTCAATAAGTTATACTTATTCAGCACTAATATTTTTAGGTTGGGATTTATCAAAAATTAAGGTTGGAATATTATCTATTGAAACCAACAATTAATATATTCATAGCAGCATCACAAAAGAGAAGCTGTAGTATTTTGTACTATGGAGGGAATCACCATGTCATGATTATGCATATGTGCATATTTTATTTTAACAGAGTGGGAGGATGGTTGTATATTTTAAAAAGAAAGCAGCAAATGTCCAAATGTAAAACATACACTACCAGGATATTGCTACCTGTAATTTGATCTGTAAACTTGAATTGTTTATATTTTGTTACATTAAAGACCTGATTCTGATCTTACAGCAGTTTTACTCCTGTATAACTGTGTAGTAACTGTGGAGTTACTAATAATTCACACCACTCCAGTGAGATGAGAATCAGGTCCCAAAGCTCTTTTACACTTTTTCATTACCCTGCCATTGTTTCACCATGAAAACAGGGACATTTCAGCTATACTACAGGTGTTTCATCTCTACAAATAGTCAATCCATAGCAACCTAAAGAACCCAACAAACACTGTAGGATTACCTTTATTTGCTTTTCAAACTGACTCAGCCACCGGTATTCATCCATCAAACCAATATTCTTGTGTCAGGGCACCAATGTAACAAAATACCTGAGTGCTACAGCACACAAGTCTGCACTTAAAAAAAATTACACAAAAAAAGGCAGAGTTGGACACAATGTCTCATTGAAATTGTATATGTGACTACTGCAAAAGATCATCTTCAAGTGTCTCATACAAACCATTTTTTTTATTTTTCTGCAAGACAATAAATTCCAAGCATGCCTCTTCCTTATCTTTGTAATCACAAATGAGCACTAATGGTATCCCATTATTTTCTGAAATGCTGCTTCGATTATGCAAATAGAAAGCCTTTCTGAAAACGGAACATTAAAAACAGTCATTTTTCTTTCGACAAATTCCCACTGCATTAACTTGGGTATTTACCCTTATTTCTCAGAAGGAGAAGACAAAGTAGCACATCTACTCACAAAACAGCACAGGACGTAGGACCTGATTCTCAGCTCCAGATGAGCTGTGCTCAGCACAGGATCCAAAGAGTGTGGGATGCAAGCTGGCTTTACAACTCCTTTGTGCTCTCCCAACACCAGGGGGCAGTTTCATTCCCAGAGCAAATTAAAGCACTCTCAGGCTAGGTCTACACTGGGGGGGGGGGGGAAGAGTATCGAATTAAGATACGCAAATTCAGCTATGCAAATAGCATAGCTGAATTCGACATATCCTATTCGACTTACCCTGCTGTGAAGACGGCGGCAAATCGACCACTGCGGCTCCCCCGTCGATGGCGCTTACTCCTCCTGACGAGGTGGGAGTACGTGCGTCGATTCAGGGATCGATTTATCCGTTTAGATGAGACGTGATAAATCGATCCCCGAGAGATCGATTTCTACCCGCCGATCCGGGCGGGTAGTGTAGACTAGCCCTCAGTACTCTTCAGTCTAAGGAAAATCTACCAGAAACATGGGGCCTGATTCTCCACTGCCTGGCACTTTGGGCTCTGTCATCTGCATCTCCCAATGTGCACTGGGAGCAACTACGCAGGAGAGACCACAAAGATCCATTTGTGGCTCCAAGATCCTGGATGATTCTGGCTGGATATGCCCCCAAAAGAGCAGCATGCTAATGCTCTAGCCTTGCTCCCTTCCTCCCAGCCACCTACATCAGGGGCTGTGAGGGGTGGTGGAACAGAGATGGGTACGTCAGCTCTATGCCTTCCTGGTTAGAGTAGCTTTAAAGTATGAAGTATAGTGAGCCAATGACACTCAGATATGTCATGACATTATTATGAATCTTGAGGAGGCAGTGTCCGGTTGAGAATGGGACCTCCATGAGGGCTGGCTTGCTGAAATTCAATTCAGATAAGACTGAGTGGTAATGGAGGGTTGGAGGAAATTGTTTCCTTGTACTCCCCCTCTCCGAATCCACCTGTTGTCTCTTGTCTTTCAATTCTAGATAGAGGGAACACTGACATTTTAGCAATCTAGCTGACTTGTCTATAGCTTCAATGTAAAATTCAACAAAGGGCATTGGAAAAGAGAAGAAATTATTTGGAGTTTCCTCATTCAGTTTCATGTATATTAATCAATCATCTCCTCGCCTTCCACTTTTTTGACTGGAGTACTCTACAATGTACTCTACCTACACATCTGTAATTGCTGCCCTGGGTGAAGAATAAAAAGGACCCATTCTAACTCTTATAGTCTCCATTCTGAAAGGTTGCATAGTTTCCTCTCCTAGAAGCAAACAAATGTGTGCATTATCCAGTACAGGGTTTTAATGCTGTATATGAAAAGTGCAATTTGGAAAAAGATTTCTCGGAATTCACAGATGTGACCTCACTGGGCCACCACAATTTATGTGGGTGACAGTGTATCTGTCAGCAATGGGAATCTTCTGACAGGAATAACAATAGCCTAAAAGAGAAAGGAGGGTGCCATTCAAAGACAGTGAAAGACAGGGCTGAATATGAATTTTTTTCTGGCTAGCTTCTCCCCACAGAACAATAAAATTCAGCTGTCAAAATGTCAAGCACTTTTGACTTCACAACAAATGAGGAGAGTGAAAAGTTAATAAATCAACAACAGTATAGTGAAGGAAAATATATTTTAATTTACTGTTGTTCCACATATATTTTCTGTAAATTGGATTTTATTTTCAGATCCATGTTGTCATTCACAATATTAACAGTAGAGGTGGTGGTGATGGTACATAAAAAAACTGAATCTAAAAGCAAATTTTCAGTGACAAAGCCATACTTCCAGGATTGTGTTCTAATGGGCACACAAACCCTTCTAGCTTATCTCTTCTGGTTCTTGGTCCCACTAGAACCCTGAGTGGAATTATGACCATGTAATCTTTTCTTTTCCTCTTACACACTTACCCTTATTAGACACTGTCACTTTTCTCTTTATAGTAATTCTAAATTTCATCCTCTCTCCTCTATTCCTACTGCCAAAACTCTAGTACCTGCTCTGATAGTTTCCATCTACCTCTCCAGCCAAGCATTATGGATACTTCTACAGCGATGATTTTTTGCCTTGATAACCGTAGCCTCCTCTTTTCTACCCTGTTCTCATCCTTCCCTTCCCCGCTTGTATAATGCGGTGGTCAAGAATGCCTTCCTCTCTGCTTGCTCTGACTACATTTCCATCTACTTTGCTCCCTCATCTATAATGAATCCAAGCGTCTCCTTTTCCTCATAGTTAAAGCACTCTAGCTTTATCTTCCAGCTACCTCTAGGAACCTTCTTCCTTCTACAGTCTGCCTGTTCCAGAGCTTCCCTCCTTACTGCTCCCTTTATCCTCCTTCTTCCACTCCTTGCTCCAACATTCTCCTCAATACCGCAGCAAGGATTAATGCACACTTCCGCTCCTCTTCCTGCGACATTAGCAATTTCTTTTCTCTGTGAGTCAAATCGTGAAATGTCCTAAGCACCTAAGGACGGACTTAAAGCAGCTTACAAATTGTGGTTTTCCAGCAGCACCGGAGACGCCAGGAAGAAGGATTCCAGAACACATTGGCACATCCGAGTTCTCCAAGGTGGGGATTTGCAACTCAGCTCAAAGGTGTAAAAGTTAGGACGGTGGCTGGACCAGCCAATCAGGGCCCAGTCGGCCCCTATAAAAGGAAGCTGCAGGCCAGAACAAGTGAGTCTGCTGCAGGAAGCCCAAGGGAGGGGACTGGCTTCCTAGAGGGCTACAGAGACTAGCACCGTCAACAGGGCTGCTAGGAGTTGCAGGCCCAAGGCCCTGGAAAGAGGGTGAAGGAGCTGAAGGTGCTGGGGCTGCGGAGAAGTGGCCCAGGGGGTTGAGACAGACTGGTGGAGAAAGAAAGAAAGGAGGGGCAGTGAGAAGCTGTTGTTTACTGAGTCCCTGGGCTGGGACCAGAGTAGTGTGCGGGCCTGGTTTTCTCCCCCCACTTGCCACTGAAGAAGCGGCCAGGCTATGGACTGCCAAGCCGCTGCAAAGAGCAGCTAGACCGGTGCGGGAGTAGTCCCCCGGAAGGGGGGAACCCGGATTGTGACACGGCCGGAGGGCTGTGCCACAAAGCAGAGGCAGTGAGACTGGAACTGCGGTGGGTCTGCAGGCGGAGACGAGGCTGGGAGAACCACTCCCACCGGAGGGCACACCTGCTGACCAGAGCTAATTCCTGAAACGGCCAGCAGGAGGCGCCAGTGTGGTGAGTGACACCGTGACACCTTCCCAAAGCAAATATCAGCTGGCCATGGTCAGGATGGTGTCCCAGGCTTTACTTTTAGTATAGAAGTGAAAAGTCCATCCTCCCCAGCTCTCCCACTGCTCCCACATACAAAGCCCTTTGCTTGTGAGTCCAGTGTCAGACCCCATGATAAATTTCCTGTTTAAGAGCTGAATCTGAAGTAGTATGTTTCTGTTGACTGTACTGTCTTGGTGGAGGAGGGGACTCGGTGTGAGCTGCACAGAAATGCAGAAGCATGCTGGCTGTGGG